GATGCTGCTGAGGTGGTGGATAGCTTTCTCTTACTTCTAACGATAGTCGATATTAGCAGCTCGCCACCTATGGTTGATGCTAGAAGCAGGAGTGCGTCACCTCACAGTGCTAGGTCGCGGAAGAGGACAAGTACGACTTCATCGAGAAGCCAAGGGGACTCCTTGCCTCCCAGGAATCGTGCCCAAAAACGAGAAGAGAACCAGACTAAACAACAAGAACATCAACAAACACAAGAAACACAAACTCCTACCGTCGAAAAAGAAGAAATACTCCTGGAAAATAATGATGTGAAAAGCACGACGAGTCCTGTCGAAAAGTCACTCTTTCGTCTTGGCCCTCCGCAAGAACTGGTGGTGGGCGACCTAAGCGCAAGAGAAGTGGAAAACGAGCAAGACAACTCTCAAGATTTTGGGGAACGATATGAAGCAGAACAAGAGGATCAATGCGCCTTCGCGTCTGATGCCACAAACTCCGTAAAAGCAAGCAAACCAGTTTTGTCATGCACGACGCGTCGTATTACAACATCTGGCTGGACCAAGTTCACGCCGTCAAAACTCAAAAAACCTGGTTTTGCTGGTGGAAACAGCCGAAGCGTCAGTGTAGACGTGGATGACTTTGGCGGCACCGCGAGCATCAGATTATGGCTCCTCGTTTTTCTTGAAGTTGTGGTTGATGAATAGGGTTTGGGTGTCCACGGATGAAGTCAAAAATATAATTCATCAGCAGCGACGTCCTCTAATACCAGAAACAAACAGTGTCAGTGTCAAATTGACACGTGACGTTTCAAATTCGTACGACCGAGAGACGCAGACTCATCTTTGCAGTTCAGGCGTTACTAGTCCTCGTGTGCGACCGAAGGACGACTTTAGTCTGCAAGCGGCCTCGTCCGTTACGGCGAGTCCTTCGCGAGACGAAGTCTCAGAGGAACTTCCAAGCAAGAGTAGGTATATCGATGTGCCGACAAATGCCGAGCAGAGGTTTGAATTAGCAACTCAACTATACCTGTCTTCATCAGGAGTAGATCCTGGAGGAGCGTCAGCTGGAGTGGACAAAAACGGTGAGAATGACATAGACGAAGACCACATCGGTAGAGTTACTGCGGCCATTACAATGCCGCAGGCTGATGAATTCAGCGTCCTTGGCAGGGCTGCACATTCAAAAAAACATCACTCAGCGGGGAAGATAGAGAAGCGCGAGGTTGCCGGTGAGTACACGTTCTTTGGTGGACAACTTCTTGAGGGAGACGCGGCTTCAACTTGTGTCTCACAATTCGCCAGTAGAGTTGGCTCGCCAGCAATGGGCTACAAACAGCTGAGCAAAGAGCAGTCTCGTAAACGAAGTACCACTAGTCGCGCCGGGGACGAGGGTCGCGACATCATTTTGGATGAACGCGAGAGAAAAGACCTTATCTATGAAGAAGAAGAAGACGACGACAAAGTACCGTATGAAGATGTGTCTCCAATCTTCCCTCTAGGAAGTAAAAACACGGTTCTTGGGTCCAGTAGCATGGCGTCGTTGATGACAGGAGCAAATTTTTCGAGTGGGGGAACAATGGTGCGACCCACTCGGAAGAGGAGCTCCTCGACTGCTCTAACCATGACAGGCGCTTCGGATTTCGAGAAGCCAGAGCACGGCAGCTTTGTCATCTACCAAGAAGACACAACTGACTGCCCCATCTCCTCAGCTTCATCGAAAATGAACGTTACCTCATCCTCATCCAAGGAAATATTCGTAGGAGATGTAACAACTACAGCTGGCCGTGGTCCACCTACTGAAGGCCATATTAATGCGGCTCTTGCAGGTCGTCCATCTATGTCGAGTACTGTTCAGCTTGTTGACGGTGCTGTTTCATCTGCAATGTTAGGCGTTCCGCGCTTAGGGAACGATGTTTCAGCTGGCGATTTGAGAATTTCTTCGCCACCCATCGTCATCGATACTGACTCAGGAAGACCAAGACAGTCTGTTCATAACTCAGGCGACTATACTACAACCACTCCTACTGGTGTCACTGCCGTTCTGTCAGCACCCTTCCCCGACGCGAAGGCTCTGCGCCTGCCATCACCGCGAGTCGTTTCATCCTCTTCGAGTGGTGCTACGGCACAACAACCTGCTGGATCTGTCCGAGGACGCGCTGCGAGTGCGCTGGCGTCGTGGACTGCTTTTTATCGCGGGGACCACTTACGGACGAAAATGAACAGCGGTGCAGCAACAAAGACGATGATGAGAAAGAATGATGGAGTCGATGCTGGAGGATCAGCTAGCCCTCAACATACTCATCCAAGCACAACAAGTAACCTCCAGCAAACAGAGCCACACTACGGCGACAAGAATTCAGTACAATTTGGTGACGATAGTTGCGTTAAGAATGATTGTGGAATAGAGAGACAACCGGCAGAGATCAAACAACACTCGTCGTCTGACCATGACGATTTGGCAAAGTCAAAGAAGGATGAGTCACAGAATACTAGTTCCGAGCTCGAGGAAGACGAAGAAATCGGGCGTAGCAATGAGTGGTCTCCCGTGGGAGCATGTAGCAGTCCTCGGCTTATTATTCGCAAGCGGGAACAGCCTTGTAGCCCTTGTTACCCTCAAGCGCCACCGCCACCACACTCGCAAATGAACTCTAAGGAATCAGCAATGTTGTCGAGTCATCCTCCTGTAGTTGGCAATCGTGGTGCCACACCTGTAGCCTCGCCACTTTCTGCGCGCGCCCGAATAGGCATGATCCCAAACAAGTACATTCTCATTCATCCAGACCCGCCTGTTATCCCTCGAGAGCCCGCGAGGACACAGGCAAGGATCAAAATCGAGAAAGGCGATGAGAAGCAAGCTCATAGCGCCGACGACCGTCTTAGCAAGACACTGAGCCCGAAAGCGGGCACGGGCCTCGTCGATTTTGTGCGGGATTTTCCACACCGGGACCAAGAGTCTAGTAAGGAAGCCTCGGTGTCTGTCGGATCTGGGTTGGGCGCCTCTGGAGCTCATCATGTCAAGCGATCTGCTGGAGCGTCATGTTCTCTGACCAATACTGCTACCTCCGTTTCTTCGATGTCGTGGACCACTCGAAGGCGCGCCGATCTGCATGACATCGTTTGCGCGTGCTCTAGCAAGATCAGCGGAACTATTCGCAACCGAAACAGCGAACTCAAGCAGCAAACGGCAGTTTCCAGGGAGACGCTCAACGGAGCCCGGCAAAGGGCGCTCACCGAGTTTAAAAGGAACTGTTCTAAAACGAGCTGCAATCTGAGATCGTTTTCGGCGCGAGGCGCGGCTACGGTAAGGTCTGTATCCGCAGGACCATGTGTGCGCAATGCACCAGGCGCCGCGGGCTCCACTGGTCATGTTGTTCCTGCGCAGTCTAGTACAAGTGGATCTTGTTTGTTATCCTCTTCAAGAGGCTCGCAGGACGTCGGCTCGAATGGTCGTAGGCCGCTGGCAGTTCCTTTAGTCGTAAAGAACGGCATTGGAGCAAACTATACTCCCTGCACTTCAAGTACAACGCCACGAATGACAACACTTGCGAGCACAAACGGCAACTCATTGGCAGCATCTTCTACGCTGGGGCTGAGCACAAATAGTCGGATCAAGCGTGCTATAGATAATACCAGTGAAAAGAGAAGAGCCGCAACTTCCGCTTCTACTATGGTCGCAACGTCGTCCTCTAGGCCTGCAGCAAGTCCGTCGCATCCGTTTCAATATCTCACCTCTCAACCTCGGAGAACGCCACGGCATGCAAACCCTAGTACTAGTGTAGATCAAACTAAGTCCTCCCTGTCTCCCAGAACGGGGCTCACGACCACGGAAGGCCCAAGACTTCGCGCAACTCTGGCTGGTCGCAGTTGTGGCACCTGTTCTAATTCCAAGGAAAAAGGCACAAGTGAAAGTGATGTTGACGGTGAAAATCTATCTATTTCTACTTCTAAAGCTTCTACCAGCGTTAGACCCTCTGCAACTCTAGTATCCGGTACTAGTCACGGAAATCGAAGTGGTTGTGGTGCATCAGTAAAAAGAGCTGTTTCTGTATCCTCTTCGTTTCAAGTACTAGGAAGCGGTAGAAGTCTGCGTTTTGGTCTCATTTCTCCGCGTTACACAGCTGCCAACTTCGCGCCGCCTAGTCGTGTCGTAATCCCTCCAAGTCCAAGCACCCCCGCACCTCCAACAGCACCAGCAAGGACGATGCAGCTAAATGGGTTTCAACAGTCGCGTACAAATACAGCTTCGACACTTGTCACGCGTGCGTTCTCAGCAGTCGTATCGGCATCCTGCCGTGTTGATTCTCAGCAACAACAATTGCCGGCGCCGATAATGTTTGAAGTACATAGTCACGCGGAGTCGTCGAAGGAATCGATGAAAAGTGCAGGCACAGAAACCAGTACGAGGACAGGCAGAACGCAGGCTGCTTTCAATACCGCCTCCTCTAGCAAAGGAACCAGCTCAAGGGAAACAGGTCATGAGGACTACGAGAATATCATAGACCATAAAGAGGACTTGATCGGAAATGTCACTTCCGCTGCATCTGCAACGCATACGAGAACTACAGCAAATAATATTGGCACAACCACCAGCACCAGCACAAATCTGAGGGTCCTTCCCCCTGCTGCTGGTGCTGTCGCGACATTTCCTATTGTTCCTTCAACATTCACGACACCAAGCACCGGTCTGTCGCTTGCTACACAAACGGCCATGAATACCGCTCGTAACCGCACTATATCTCCTGGAGGTAGCGTTCCAGTAGCAGGAGGCCATCTCTCCTCTTTCCGGCTCTTGTCCTGTCATAGCTTCAAACCCGGTCATCTGAAAACCACGCCTCGTCTGGGCACCGCACCACGAGGAGCAGGAGCTAGCAGTGCAAGTGTAGCACCCCCTGTAGTTATTTCATCTGTCGTTTCACCAGCAGGAGCAGCTCCTGCAGCATTTCTCGGCGGCGTTACACCTGTTCTCCCTGCATTTGCCAGTCTATTTCAGAAGAGGACCGAGTCAAGCTCACGGAGACCTGCTACTGGCGAAGACCACAATTATAAAAAATCGCCGCCAAGCCCCCGTGTTAAGGTCGTCGATAGCGTAGAGCATGCTGGCCAGATCGAGAAAACAGGAATAGCTACAAGTCTAGTCCCACCGAAAAGTGCTTTGAAGACAACGCCATCGTCTTCTACAGACCACAAGAACATGTCCAACAATAGGACAACACTCGGTGGCTCCTCGTCTGGTCAACAACTTTTTAGAGTCGACAACGGGCTTTTGCGTGCCCAAGTTTCCGGCTTAGCCTACCGTAGTGCCCCCAGCGACAGCATGCAGCATCAAACAGCCAGAATCGCGAAGTGGAACACAATCGTGAAGGGAGTGCCAGCTGTCCTCGATGACGACTCTTTGTCACCTCGAAAAACCGTCTCAAGAAGCTCAGCAGATGACAACATCAATCGAGGAGAAGCCAACGAGTACATATTTTTGCCTGAAGAGAACCTCTATCTTCCGCGAACGCTTTACGGTGTACAAGTCTTGGTCCCCATTGGATCAGACATTCCAAGTTCCGCCCCTGACCATCGACTAAGTAACTAGAATGCAAACGTCGTCGTGGAGGTGAAGACTTTCTCACAATAAATCAGAACATGACTAGCTTATCCTTATTTTTTAATTTAATATTACTATTAGTACTCTCTATTCAGGTCGTCGGACACGGAGGTGAAAGAGCACACGGCGATCACAACATACTAAGTAGAAAAATCCTCGGGAAAACAACAACCATCAAGCTAGGAAAAATTACTATCTTCTACACTTTTCTATCTCACCCTTCAGAAAGCCTAGCGGTCGACTAGATGGATAAATTTTGTATCTAACTACATGTGCATCTGCATGGTGTACAGAGCAGAAAAATGTATAGGCGTTTTCATTAAGCTGCAAGGTCCGCCATCACTTGCGACTTTATATTTTTAGTTTCCTCCTGTGCATGTCCTGTTCGTCGCGAATTATCATTTCTAGCGCTTACCCTTAGTCAGTCTCAGTGTCACGCCAACAATTATCAATCGACTCCGTATGTATCTCAAGAAACTCATCTTTGCTAACATTTGTTGTACAGGGTGTGAATGTGCTATTGCTTTCTCAGTAAGAAACATTGCCAATGCCAAATAAAAATCGACATGCACATGAATGTTCGTGCTAGATGATAATAATTTTTTGAAATGTTCTTAAATGTAAATGTGGTTAACGATAATAAAGGAAATGAACTTGATATACTTATACATGCATCCGGAAAATAATGCTTCAAATGCTCCTAAATCATGCATCCGGAAAATCAACGAATTGCTAATGACGAACTATCCAACCAACAGTAGTAGCTGTGTCTGTAAAAAAAGATTACTTATATTTTCATGTCATAAACCTAAGGCGAAGCAGGGTTAGCGAGTCTTGACGCAACGCCCGTAATTTCGTCTTGATAGATTCTGCTAAAAGAGTGCCGCTTATTCTGGGTGCCGTGCGCATGTGGTACTTATTGAGACTCAGAGGAGAGGAGGTGGAAAGATGAAAAACATTTGCTTCGTAGGCATCGCTTCATGAATACAATAAAACTACTTAAGCTTGCATAAAAAGAATTCCAGTTCCAGCGATGGAGAACTCAATGTCGCACATCGTCAACCACAGAGGGTGATCATGACCACCAACAGCAATACTTTTTCCACCGCCTTTTTGAAGACAAACAGGAGCTCCAGGTCCAGCCAGAGACAGGCGGAAATATCAAAATCAATCTAGAAAAAAAAACTACACTCTCTATCACGACATGTTTAAGGCATTGATTCCAGATGAAAATGAAAAAGAGCTAGCTTGAAAGCAGTGTTCATCTGAAGAAGAAGAATTTTGTACTTGTACCCAACTGAGGCCAACGAACACGAACAGGAACACGCTGTCGAGACGCTCAAACTGCAATCGACGAGAGATTTCTTGTTGTCCCTTCTAGCCCCAGGCAACTAACTGCTGCATCTAACAATGATATTAAGAGCCAGTGGCAAGAAGAGCCTGTAGTTTTGTGTTATGTATTGTCTTTCTTTCGAGCTGCAGCAGCTACCTCCTTAACCCGCAACGGGGTAGCTCATCGGAAACAAAGACGAAAAATCTGTTGTTGCATAGCTGCTGACGCAGATCATCTTATCACGCAAATTTCCCCTGTTGCAACCTAAACCTTTTTCATTTGAGTTTGATACCTGCTAGTTCCGAAGTTTTATTGCAAAACCTGCTGGTGCACTTTTGGTGATTTATAGCATTCTTGTTATGTCGTAGTTGTCGATAAAGAATAGTAGAGGTTAGAAGTTCTTTAGCTACATCAGACGTAGTTGTATTGCTCATGATGAATTGAAAACTACATGCTGCCTCAACAATTTATGGTGCAGCTTTCGTTGAGGTTGATGTTGTTTTGATGTAGGTCGCGATTATCTTCTTCGAATCATGTCGAGTTGTATAATTAGGATTAGGATTAGCAGTGTGTTGTTCACGTGGCTTCTCTGTTCATCGTTGTTGTTGTTCTACTTGCTCTTCTCTGTCATTCTAGTGTCAGTCTTTATCTTTGTTCCTTAGCTAATATGGTTTCGACTTCGGAACATCCACACTGCCTTCTTGACGTTGAGTCTTCTTTTTCATCAAAACGTAGTTGAGGTTGCGTGAGAGAGTGTGGTCTCAACCACCTTTTTTGTTGTGTAATTACAGCAACTATCATACGCTCGCCTGAGGACGACTACAACTTCCGCAGTGTTCTACTACATCATCCGGGGCGGGTGACCGTCGTGGGCGACAAAGCCTACTCGTTCGACCTTTTTTAGTGGCAGCTCATAACACCTGATGAGGATTGGGTGAGGAAGCCATTATTTTCGCTGCTGCGGTTCCGCCTTTTTTTAAGGCCGCCACTATCATGATTCACTTCTTAGGTCCCTATCAGATGTTGAGGTTGTTTGACGTGGTAGTTCTCAACCTCGGCTCTCCTGCTCATTGTGATGCCAAATTGTCTTGCTGTTCACTGTGTACTTTAGATTCCACCAGGTCTTTCACGTGTACTTACAGTATTATCACGTTGTAAGAACAGCTTTTTTACTGAGTACTACAACTAGAAGGACTAGGACAGCGTCATCTTCAACATTATCTGTGCAAGAAGTACTTCTACGCGTAAATATTCCTCGAGCTGTGAAAATCTGCACCTCCACCACCTCTAAGAATCGCTTTGTTCTTCTTTGTTTCTCTTTTACCAAGTAGAAGCAAGAAGATGCGCGACCCCTTCTTCGCGACAACGCCGGAGCGTCTCCTGATGCGACCTGACCCCGCAGTCAGGTGGTGTCGGATCTGCGACAGTGGTCAGTCCGACTGAGCTTCGCGTCTACAGGGGGACGATAAGGATTACAAAGGAAGATGTTGTTTAGTTTTACTATTGTAGGTAGTTCTAGTTGTTACTGGTAGCAAACCACCACAGCTCATCAAAGAAGTGAACGTGAAGATGAAAGGTTATTTTTGACAAGAATTATGATCATGACTCATATTCGTTTTTGAGAAATAAGTAATCAAAGTTCTTGTGGTGGTCGTCGTGGTCGTCAAAATTTGAAGTTTTACTACATCAGTCGTACCAATGAATACCAAAAGCAACACAGCGACAAAATGATCCTGGTCATCGATAAGTCATCCATTCCGATTAGCTCATGATTAGTAGGAAGTTTTTGATGAAATTTTTATGGTCGTTTTTCCAACAGTTGTAGGTCCTCATTGTGAATACTAGTAACTAACAACTATTTGCTTTTTCCTGCTTTGAAAAGGAAAATATGAGTAATTTTTTGAAAACCGTAGTTGTTTCCAGCATTTAGTAGAATATAGTTGTTAGCACAAGAATCTTCTAAATGAAATATACTTGCTTGTGTAGAAGTCTTCTGCTTTCTTTCCTAGTATCCCCGTGAAATGACTGTCTGGAGTGTATGACTAATATGATAACGCTAATACCGGTATTACCTAAATGATCCAGAATGATAAAATGCTGACGTCTTCTGTCGTGTGTGGGTGTCTTAGTGGCTCCCCAGACAGATTCTCGATGTGGGTGGCTGCATCCGATAGTCTCCTGACTAGAAGCTAAGTAGGATCTCAGGTAGATGGCGTGCTCGTTGCAATTGCATCGCTTTGATGTTGTATAAAATATGTTAACTCCTCCTTGAAGATGTCAGTCTCAGTTGTTACAATTGAAGTTTGAATAAATTTTAGAGATTTGCTCCTGCACCTGCTCGTAGTTGTCATCATCTTGATCTTCATCGAAGTAGGAATAAGAAAGCAGTTAGCTGATTTAGCTCACTTCTTCAGGCAAAGGCAAACGCAACTCACATTCTGTACTGCAAATGTTTTGAAGTTATCATAATCGTTGGTCAATTAAATATTGTTCTTGTATTTAATTTATGAATTAATGTGGTCCCACGCCCACCGTTGCCGTTCCAGCCACCGTCGTGTCGGTTGTAAGTAGAGTTTAGGATTGTCCATGGAGCAGGTCATGTTGAATAGATAATCGAAGTCTTGATGTAGCTACTAGAACAGTTCTAACTTTCAGTTCTATGACAAGGAGGCTTTCTGTTGAATACCAAGAGTCGTGTTTTTGGCTCTTCAGCAGCCACCGACGTCTGCTAGTTTTCCTGGTGGGCCCAAACCTTATCTAACCTAACCTAACCTAACCTAACCCAGTAACAACGAGGGGGGTATAGCTATATTTTTCTATATCCGTCTGACACTGGGTGGGGTGGGCGTCCGCATCAGTTGGAAGAATTCACCGGTCCGGTTAGTCACTGCTGTTGGTGAAATAAGTACGAAAAGTTTCTTTCGCAGTGGTTGGTCGAGGCTGTTCTCAGAGGGTTACAACTGAAGATTGGCTCCGCCTTTCACCATGCTGCCATCAGTTTCCAGCACTTCCGCGCCAGCGGGTATACTTATTTATTATACAAATTGTTACGAATATGAAATCGCTTTTGCGCTTCTCACTCGATTGGCCTTAAATCTGGGGAGTTATGGCAGTTGTGTCCTGCTGTGGCCTTGGTTGTGGGGGTTGTGTCCTAAGGTAAGGTGTGGAAGTTGTGAGCTAAGTCGTATGAAGCAGCCTTCGGAAAAAGTCGCGCTTTATTCTTTGGCCGTTCGAATTTGAACACCATGAGACTCCGAAAAATCGCGTGGGCTTTATGGTGTTCAAATTCGAATAGCCCGAGAGTGGAGCTCGGCCCTTTCGTATGATTTCCGTCTGCGCACAACTCGCCACAACTTTCACAACTTCCACAACTTTTTAGAAAACAGCCGCGACAACTTATGCCACAACTCCCACAACTCTTCAGGGCGCAACTTCCACAACTCTCCGCAGCTTAATAACAAAGCGCAACTTTTTCGTACAGTTTGGACTTTCACTTTCTAAAAGTGTTCTTGAACTCTGTATTTCTTTTCACTCAATACCACCTGAAAGATAATCTTCAATATTGCAACTTTGAGTACAAGAAAACTATCGCTTTTTACTTTTCGTTTTTTCATCTAAAAAACTCTCAGCAGGTACAATTACAACAATCTATCATCTCCATGTCCAGGGGCTTTCGCTGCATATGAACGCAGTGGAACTCCGAAGCCACCCCAGGAGCATCTTGTCTTATCTCGTGGCAATTTGGGGGATCACATTGCTTTTATTGGTGACGTCCATGGTTGTGCGGACGAGCTTGAGGAGCTTATCCGGAGGTTGCCACCACGAACGTCGATCGTCTACGTTGGAGATCTCGTTCATAAAGGTACAAGAACAACTAATAGTGTTGTGACAGTGACATGAACAACCTCTTCATGATGGAAATGGATCTTGATGTCCTAATTGAGAGTCTTCATCCAGGAACTACTTACAACTCAGACGATCATCTATCTTCTTTTTACCTCTAACGTCAAAACTTCATCTTCAGGTCCGCGCTCTGCGGATGCAATCAAAATAGCGAAAGCAACTGGTCTCTGCGTCCGCGGGAATCATGATGACTCGTTCCTTGCTGCATACTATCGGACAGGAAAATACGAGAATAATATCTCGGAATACCGTTTCCCAGACCTTCTTCCGCAAGTAACGGAAGAAGAAGCAGCATGGTTAAGAGACTGTCCGTTGATGGTATTTTTAGTTTTTCTTTTTTGATGCTTTAGAGGTTTACCCAAGTCAAGTCGTGGACGAGGGGACCTAGTGGGCGTTGAAGAATTTCTAGTCAAGCAAGGGGCCAGAGATGAACTAGTCAAGCAAGGATGGACGAGCCAGAGATGAACACCAGAATTACGTACTTTCCTTAAGCATCCAACATCGATGACCCTGTTGATCCTTAACTTCGTCAGATCTCTTTCCCACATCTGAACGCTCTGGTTGTGCATGCTGGTGTCCTACCAGACCGACCCCTGGAGGCACAAAATCATGGCGATCTCTTGTGGATGCGTGACGTAGATACAACACGCACTGCAGTTATGCCGGATCGACGTGTATTTCTCATCATCATCCTCGTCAATATCATCGCCCAAGGCCAACATATCTTTTATCCTCGTGGTCGACTAGCATCGACATTTTTTTTATGGAGCATGGTATTCTTTACTCACCTACACTTTCGTGAACCTCCAATCTTCTAAGTAAAACAAAGAGCCCAGGAGGACTCTGGAAAAGTCTACAGAGACTTCCATAGCATGGACGAAGGCCTATGTTGCGGACTGCAGTATCCGACTACCACTACCTCCAACAGCCGTCACGGAAGAGGAGCTTGCCACAGCTTTGCATGAAAATAGTTATGCTGTTGTCTTGTAGATTGCTCACGTTCTTGCATCTACTTACTTGATCTTCTTTCGCAAGGCGGAAGCGAGGATCATGTCATCATGTACTTTGACCTAGAGCATAGGAGCGAATCGACAACTTTCAAAAACAATCTCCAACAATATCTCTTCAGAGGAGGAATCAACGCAACTGAAAATGGACCATTGCTTGCGAACAAAGTGTCCATGTTCAACTTTCTTCATCTAATTCCGCTGTGGAGCTTCGCCAACATCGACTGCTTATTACCAAAACTCATGGGCAGTGTCCAAGTTGAACTTGTCCGTTCCTGGAGGTGGTCACCCCTACTACCCCTGGCGGCGCCTTAGCACCACCAGTACTTCTGCGGGCTCCTCCAGTCCGGATCATTTTCTCTCGCGCCATTCTTACAACCTTGGACACATCACACCGCCAAATGTACTACTTGTTCCGTTTTTAGTCATGCCTTTTTCAGCGAAAGAGTACAAAGCTAGGATTACTCGCTTCTATGTGTTCAATACAAGAATCAGTAGGAAATGATATGACATGCAGAATATCGTATGAAGATGTTGTTCATGTTCTCATCATCAAGCGCTACTTACTTTGAAGACGGGAGTTTAGATTTGACTGAGACTGATCAAACTACACCAGACTCCTGTAAACTGGCGAGATGGTCTGCGTTGGTCTGGTGCAGCGAGTCGTAGCAGCAGCACAGCAACTAGCCGTAATCGCCCTGCCTCTCCCGGGTCCGCACCAAGACCACCTGTTTGCCTGTTTCCCACGCCAGCACACCAGCGGCCAGCGCGGCCGTCTGCTGTACTCAGCGCAGCAGTCGGAGGCGTCGGAAATGGCAATAGCGGAGCGAGCGTCCCGATGTTCGGTATCGAGCAGACTCACCCTTCTCTCGGTTTACAGAACTCATCTGAATTAGTGCCTGTCCAACGGGACCCGGATGTAACTAGTACAATTGAACAAGAAGTAGGTGTAGCTGTAATTGGTGTTACCTGCTCATCAGCACCAGAACAATTACTAGTAGCACCAAGACGAGGTCGAGGACGAGCCGATCCTGATTCAGCTTCACCTCCATCTGTAGCTGATGACATCCACCACATTGGTAAACATACAAATCCAATAGAAGGCCAAGGCGAAGATGAGGTCCATGATCTTGATCTTGTACAACAACTTCTCGGAGGTGAAGGTTGCCAACTACCACATCAACATCACGAGCTTCCACCACATGTGATTTTTGGGCACGACGCAGTCCGAAAGTTGCAGGAAGCTGAATTTGCCACCGGTCTCGATACCGGTGCCTGCTATGGCGGTTTCCTCACGGCCCTCCTCGTGTCCGCTGACAATTTTGCTGATCGTCGATTTGTTCAAGTACAAGCGAAGCGAGCATATGCACCAAAACTACTACAACAACAGAATCTTCAAGGCGGTAAAGACAAGCGACAAGGCCCTCCGAGTGGCGAAGTCTCAGCTTATTCATCTGCAGATGATAAGGTACCACAAGTACGACAAGCACAAGCTTTCTCAGCAAAACAAGACAAGATTACGACTGCTCCTAGCACGACCACTGCTGCTCCTCTTTTTTCGTCTGCACTAGGACCACGACCACCAGATGAGATGGCCAGTGCTCGCTATCCAATCGACCGCTTTCTTTGGGATCCAGAAAAAGAAACATGGTCGGCCTCGGCAGGTTCACGAACATCTGCGGAAGACGTGAACATGTAGAGGTGCAACGTCTAGATGAAAAACGGTAGATTATCTTCGATATGAAAAAGACAACTCTGGGGGTTCGGGAGGAGCATTCGCATTCTTGAAGAGTGCTGAATTATAATAATCGTCGAAGCGTGCTACGTTTTACTTCTTGCTAGCAGTTCATGCACAAGATGAAGATGGAGAAGATGAAGCTTCTCGTCTACTAGTGAAGATTTATTTTCTTGTCGTGTTAGTTTGACCATCTTAAATAATCACTTTTCCTTCTCGGACATGTGGCGTGAAGATCGCACCCCGAACTATAATAGGCCGAAATGACTACCTCCAGTGAGGCTTCTTGTTGATCAAGGTCGTGTGGATGTTGTGGCTCTAATACAGAAAATTTGGTTTGTTCTTAATTCAGTTGTTGTGAACGTGAAGATGAAATTCTATGGAGTTTGCGAGCGTATTTGGATTTTTTCATGGTCGAACAGTACTGCACTATGGTATCGTCTTCATCCTCCAAAGCTAAGAAGTAGTCGCTTTATCATTGTCAAAGAACAAGTACAAAAATTAACAAGAACAAGGATAACTATGTTAATAATACTTGCTAGTGCAAGGGCAAGGGCAACCACGACCTCATCAATTGATTATGAGGTAGAACTGCTTTACCTTTCCCCTTGCGGTTTTTATGGTGTTGATTCATACATGATAGGATTCTGGTTGTATATTTTTTTCTCTTGTACAATATCTTGTGGTCGTTGATACGACATGACGTGGAACGAGGTCTGACTTCGTTCTACTTCTTCGGGATGCTAATGTAGTTAATGTTGTTTATTTCATATTATTTCTTGTTTTTGCGCAAATAACAGGATTAGACACTAGTTGTGGTAGGAAAAGAAAGTGGGGCGCGGTGTCGCTGATTGACATTGACGAGATGAAGATACTATTTCAACATCTACCCCATAATTTCTGCCAGCGAAGTGATTGCGCTGTAGGCCTGTCCATCAGGGTCATTTCATCGAGCTCGAGCCGGTGGCCATCAAAAAACGAAATATATCTTAATTCCCCTCTTCGAGAAAAAAACCCTATTCAGGGAGCCTCCTACTTGCTGCTTCTACGACATGATCGATGACCTCCTGATGTGAAAACTACTCGTGCAGCACCAGATGTTTGTGCAGCCACCAAGATGGCGTACTACATGAGAATCGATGGGGTTCTTGCACTGCAACCAGGCTCGCCCTGTTGTACCCGGTACAACTGCAGCAGGAGACGCGCGAGGAACGCGCATGACACAGGAACTGGAGCCAGGGGCATGCCCGAGGAGGTTGTAGCTCGTCGTAGTTCTCCGCTAGTGTGTTCACGTTGTTTGTCTCCTTGTCGTTCTTGTCTTGAAACGAGCTTGACGTGTCGGGTTGATCATGACAAGGAGCACGCTTATCTGTAATGGTTCTTGCGGATAATTGTTGCACTTGAAAGCAGCAAAAGCAAAGATCCAGTGTGATGGAGAAGCTCTCAACAACGAAATGATGATGTGCCTTGCCTGGAGGATGTTTCTCTGGACTCATCAAGACATCATCTAAGGTTTCGGGCGGATACGTTTTTTTTTGATCATGTCGTGGCTCATTTTCTGGTTCGTTGAGTAGTGTATTCTGTACTCTTCGTACGTATTTCAGATGAATCAGGACAAAGAACTAGGCACTCTGTAACACTGCTGTGAAGAAGTACTACAGGTACCAGAAAAAACATAGCACTCATCTTGTGAAATATCTGTGTCGTGTAGAAATATCTTCCTTGATAGGAAGGAGTTCGCGCCGCAGAGGACTTCCAATTCCTTATCTAAATCTATCATTTTCTTTTCCGTCCTAAAAACAGTGCCTTAAGTTTTCATTCCATTAGAATTTGGGTACTGGCAACATGGCCAAGGGTGATGAGGAAGGAGCTGCAGTCTTAATGCATATGCCAAGTGGCGAACAGTCGGAAATGTCTGGAAAAAAGGAGGAAGGAGATGCAGTCGAGGCAGCTGCGGAGTCCAAACAAGTAGATGGTGTTGAGAGGGTACAAGACGCATCCTCGGGCTCAGCTGCCGATGTGCCAGGAGCATCTTTGAGGAACAAAGCTGAAGCAGGAGAAGATGCCACGACTACATCAAGTGCTGGGCCATCTGCAATACAAGGTGATGGTCACGAGCCTCAGCCAGAAGGAGCCTTGGAGGCAGACCCTGAAAGAGAAAATATGGGACTACCTTCGACAGATGTGGACGCACTAGGTCGACAGATGGAGACCTTGATGCAGAGTCTAGAAGCTGTATGAGGAGTATTATTGATCTGAATCTGTAGTCGACAGGCATATTATTTCAATTTCTTGAATTTCATCCGAATATGTCCAATTTATTCACGGTCTAGTTGTATTTCTCCTCATTTTCAGTACAAGAGTGAAACTACTTAGACCTCGCGACTGAAATCTTAGTACTACGAAAAGAGCATAGAAGCACCATACGGAATTCCTAGGTGTAGGTTACAACAGGGATGACTACCTATTTCTAAAACTAGAGCTTGAAGACGACGAGTTGACAAAGGTTATACAAGACCTGAAGTCCTTGCTCATCGACCAAGGCAGGTTCCACGACCTCTGCGAGCAAGGATTTACACAGGAAAAAGGCGGAAAGCTAGCGACTTCTGCGGACTTGCGCGACGCATTAAATGTCATCGCGCGGGACGTAGGTAATTACGTATACGTGCTCATTGTCATTTTAAACTCTAAATCTTCACCTTGAATATTGAAGATATCGTCGATCAAAATTAACTACGCACTAGCTACTAGTAAAGACGGACTCGTTGTCGTTACATGCTTATGCTTGACCCGCATTCCTAAACCGACTCTCTTTCAACATGTGACTCATGGTGTGTTTCAGGTCTTGACGACGTTACGATGGACGAAGCTGATGATCTATGGATTCCCGACCTCAATAATTTCGAGTACTACACGCTAGCAAAGCGATTTTTTGAGTCGATATCTCGCAGCCTTGACGAGGAAAACGACAATCTGATCATGCAAATAGCGGGCGCTGTCCCGGGTGCAGGCGGTGGAAGCTAGCGAGGAATTTTGAAGGACGTCCTCTTTCTTTAAGTTTAAGGGAGTCTTTAGTTGTCGTTCTTACCAACTGCGTTCTTCCTGAAGCTTTGCTTTATTAGAGTTCAATCGCACCCTCGCGCTCGCTGCGACTTTGTTCAATTATACGTGGTGTAGTACACCAGCGGTCGCGGTGCATAATTATAAGTTCTTAGAATATTTCCCAATTTTTCTCAAACGCCATCACAGTCTCGATGGCAGGGCACACGAAAGACCGAAAAACACAATTGCACGAAGCTAAGGGACTTGTGTTGTGATACGTGTTTTCGTTCTTCTCTAATGCACTTCTTGCCAGAGACCTAGCGACGAGACCTGTGGGGGTGACCCTTTCTCCTTGATGATGTCGTGTTCCAAGATTATCTACGGAGGGAACACAGGGAGATAATTCTTCTTCCTTGATGATGAATTTAGTCCTATGTTGTATTCCGACATGTTGAGAAGTTCACGATATCGTCAAAAGTCATCACAAAGTCACGACGAGGATGATCAAAGCTAGGGCGACCTAATAAATCGGTTTTGGAGAGCTGCTGAAAAGTGGTAGTTCATCTACTCCTTACTACCGCTGGATGTGAAGATCGACGCTATAGCAGGACACTCCGACAATCACACAAGAAAAAGGACCTTCAGTACATCTATCTAAGTACATTTCTTTGCAGCGTAGCCCCGCGACGTGTGAAATATTTTAAGTACATGTCGGTTAAATGAAGAATTGACAACCAACATCTTCCTCCCCCTTCTCTTTCAGCGTGTGCGCTTAAGATTAGTTCTTCTATTAGCAAGGAAAGTAAAGTTGAAAAACCTACAATCTATCTCATACTCCAATATTTTAAGTACATGAAAAATTGCAAGTTGTTGGTGCAACGTTCTTACACTGAAACAAGCTCTCGAAGTTAGATAAATCTTGAGAATCCAGCTCTTGTCTGCAAACAAATCTAAGGATCTTTTGAAGATTGACATCAGACAGGAATTGAAAAATTGAGGCTATACAAAGCAACGTATATACCTACTATTAAGCTACCTCCCTTTCACTTTCATTCTGTTTCATCTGAACAAGAATGAACTTTACAACTAAGAAGTCTGTCTTCCCATTATACTTTCATCTCCCGTCAAAAAGAAAAGCTTCATACCACGACGTGAAAAAATGTCGGGATCTGCTCCGCAAATGAACATTTTCGGCTTTCAGGATACCGATATCCCGTTGGCACCACCTTTTGCGGTCATTTTGTGCAATATTTTTACCGTATTTCTCGCTAAGGGGCCTCTGAAATGGAAGATGCCACTGTTTCCTCCGGAGACTACAACTTTGAAGTTATGCAAAGAAAGGACCAATGTAGGAGGTCGTACATTATTCATTGTTTGTTGACACCCCTCATCACGTATCAACATATCAGCCATAGGCATCGAGTTGACGAGGATGAAGATAGTCTTACGCAGATTAGATAAGCATTGATAAATTGTTACCTCCAGCCACAGCGAGCAGACTGTGACTGTGGTACAACGTCCTAGTTGTAGACCTACGACTTCAACTTGTACTCCTCTAATCCGGAAGCGCTTGGTTGTTGCTTCCGTTTTCGCCGCTGCGATCGCTTATCAGTTCTACCTGTGCAAGGTATCGCTGCATTCTACGGGTAGTGGTATTGCGTTCACGCCTGTGGAGGGCATCACGCGCAGTGGCCCGTATGCCTACTCGCGCAACCCGCTTTACCTCCAGTTTTTTGTCGAAATTATACTATGATAGGAAAAAGTGTACTCAGTCATCCTCACAGAATTAGCTTCTTGCCTATTTGAATCCTAGCTAATTTTTTCTCGAGAATGAGCACAACGAGAACACTTTTTCCTTTCATAGATACCTTTGATGGCTTACATTTCGAACTCGCGGTGGGTCTTTTTTTGGCATTTCCCGGTCATGCTTCTTTACCTCACAATGGTCGTCGTTCCCGCGGAAGAGGCCTTTCTACTGAAGCACCACGCGAGCACCTACACAGATTACTACAACACTGTGCCAAGATGGTTTTGAAAGCATTATACTGTCAAACCAGCTCCTCGTCGTCGTCTCTACAGCCATCATGAACGGTGGTAGAAACAGGGACCACAGGATGCATGACCAAGATTGTGCAGATGGCACGAAAAGAAAAAACTTCAAGCGTAAACTTCCGTTCTTCATGCAGCTCGAACAGACAGTAGGACAAACGACCTTATCTTCTCCTGGCAAGTCGATAATGAATAAGGATCAAGCATGATATTTATATTTTTAGATCACAGTACTCCCTTTTTCAACCATTGCCATTTTTAATCAGAATGGCTTCGATGTTTTTATTGAGCAAAGAAATACACGCCAGTTCCACCATGATAATTATGGTCGATTCTACTGCTGGTGCTGCATTACTTTATGATAAGTGTACAGGTCAATGCCTAAACAACTAAGCCAACTGCGCAGTTGGCTTAGTGATTTAGGCGTTGACCTGTGCACTTATCACTTTATTATATTTATAATGGCAAGAAGTACAAACAATAGCATAATAGATACTCATACTGCAGGTATGCTAAGTGCCCGGCAAATTTTTAAATCTTCACTCAGAGTCAGAGAGGAAATCGAAAACGACCATGATCAGCAAGAAGGAAGCCATCTTTTTAAAAACCTATACACATCACACTCCAGAGAAACTACCCAAGCTCCACTGCATTTCGTCTTTACTTCGCAAGCGTTGTAGAAAAAAAGATGCAAAACAAAGACGAATGATGAAATTATCTATTGGAAATAACATTACCTCCTTCTCCGATTAATAGAATCATTCAGAAAACGCGAAGATCTAGGTCGTTGCTTTGTGTTCATGCTCATGTAGCTCTACAACAACTTCATGCACGACAAAGGGTCACAACTATTTACTAGTTGCCATCCTGAGTATAATGATAAAGCAGCCCTGCTTGGTTGTCACTCGTCCACGAAGTTAATATTTCTGTTCAAGGCATTGTAGTAGTAAATCCTCGTACAAGCTCTCCCAAGCGAGACGTAATGACCGAGCTGAAAATTATATCCTAAATGGAAATGCTACTGCAAATCATGTTCTGATCAATGCGATCCTCGTCAGTTTCGAAGAAAGCTCTTCAATGAATTGAAACCATATTCAAAATCCAAATCATTCTGAAGATCACCTAATATTTATTTCAATACATGTATGGAAATGGATCTAATCGTCTGACGCAGACGCACGGACCTCCACGAGCCTCCTTATTTATACAAGGAAAGGGCAACGCTCGTTATTTTCATCACAACGTCGATCTTGATATGAACCCTACTTATCCTCTTCAGCCAGTGACAGGTGGAAGATCTTTCGTTGTTCAACAGCAACAACAACTTCTATTTCGAATATTCTTGGGTTCTTCTGTAATCTGCGGCGTTATTTAAAAACAAAAGAAAATGGCGGACGCAAAAAAGGGAGCCCTTGGGGACTTTTTCAAGAAGAAGAAGAAAGTCGCAGTCAAATCTCTGAACCTGAACGAAGAGTCCACGACTGCTTCCAAGCCGCTCGAGAAAACTGTCAGTGTTATGATGAAAGATACAACTACTTATCTTTTTTCTTTCTATCGAACTACTTATGTTACAGCTGTTGAATACCATTACCACAAGAGAGAGAATGTCATCATTCCAATGCAGCTAGTTCCATGGTTGAAGTACGACCACACCAACACTCCACCAATATCTTTTCTCATGCCATTCTGAGTTTGTGTTGACTCGTCCCTTGCACTCGCACCATTTCCCCCTTGGAGTTACGTCTCGCCCTTGCTTTACCCCTCACCGCATGGTCTTTCGCCGCCCAGTAATACTAACTGTCATGATCTCCCACATGATTTTCCCTTTTCATATCCCTGACCGGCAACGAAGGAGGAGACTCCACCACGAACAAAAAGGCCAACAAGGATGGTTGGAAGGATGAGACTTCGAACCGTTTCGAGGATGTGAGCCCGTCTAAGGCTCGTATGGTTGCCAACCTCGCTGATGTGCAGGCTGCGGAGGAAAACAACAAGAAGTCCAAAACATGGTCTGACAAGCCAGTCGGTGGAGCAGCCGCAGCCAGAGGAGGAGCTTACCAAGTGCCAAGCCATCAACCTGGGTACGACTATTTTTAGCTGATAATTTGTTTGATCATCATGTTGAGCATGAGCAACTATTTACAGACAGGACAGTGTCTAAGGATATGGATCAAGCAGATGTTTTCCATTTTCTTTGTGATAGAGTTTGAGGTAATAGATTAAGTACGCTTCACAACCAACAGGCAAGTGACCCAGAGCAAGTTTCCGGAGTTGCACAAGGCTGTGGGGTATGGCGGTTTGCAGGTGAAGGCTGAGCCGGCGCCGCTGGTTGCTAAGCAGGGCAACGCATTCGCGGGTTTGAACGTGGATGACGACAGTGACGAGGAGCAGGAGCGACTGATGAAGCCGGCTCTCGTGACCAAGGTGAAGGGTCAGAAGCAGTACACCGCGCCGACGAATTTATTCGGCGCTACGCTGAACCGAAAGGACGCGGACGACGATCCGGTGGCTGAGCGTGAGGCGAATGAGAAAATGAAGCGCAAGTTGGAAAAGGAAGCCGAGAAGGCGAAGGCTAAAGCAGAGCGTGAAGCGGCAAAGGCAGAGGAATTGAAGGAACAAGCTGCAACGAAAGCGGCGTCGGCTGCAGCTGAGGTTTTTGACGCGTCGAAATTCTCCTACGGACAGTTCAACGTTACGGCATGCGAAGCCAAATACGCTGAACGCGAAAAACTCGTCGCGGCCTGCTAAACTTCTACTTCTTATCAGAGTGCTCTATAACTACAACAAGAATGGAGACGAGGACGAAGTTTCACTACAGTAAAATACATCAAGTAGTTTACCATTGCTACTACTACGTGTTCATGAACATCAAGAACATGCACACTGTAAGTGGTTGCTCTAGTAACCAAATACCTTGCTAGACGTAGGTAGAAGAGGGACAGATGACCCGATTGCAATTTATTGAACACAGACGCGCCCGCGTCTTGTTCTAGACTTCTTCTTTCGGATGAAGCCCTAGTAGCAGGAGAAGTTGCTTCTCCTTCCAGCACGACTTGTCCACGTCGTCATCATCTCTTTCCGACTTTTCCAGCTTGGAGATGGACTACATTGCGATACCTCACGTCGCAAACAAAACACCAGATGATGAAGACCCAGACCGGTTGTTTGTGACAAACTGCAAGAAAAATCGATGCTGAACTTGAAATGTTTCTTCGATTTCATTCACAAGAAGAATGATAAGGATAACATAAGTACAATTTTCATATAAAAGACGCACTGCTGAAATCTTTGACCGAATACATGCATCTTCATTTTCGTTTTCCCGCCGTTTCACTCATTCAAAATTGTGATCACATGAAAAATTGATCACAACGAGCTTCCCGGTGCCGAGCTCGTCAATCTGAGTCGTTGCTTCCACCTTATTTCACAGGCAAGAAGAATAAGAAGTTGTTGACACAGATGCATGTCCATGTAGAACTTATTTTTCAGGATGATAGAGTTAGAGAGATCGCGCAAAATGAGACGAGTGATGCGCGCGTCAGCGTGTGCTTCAATTATGGAAGAATATAGATTACAAAGTGAAACTCCAAATACCGTCGTCGAGCAAACTTCCAAAATCGCGAAAAGAGCAAAAGAAATCTGTTTGAAACCGAGAGTCATTTGAGAAAAAACATTAACATTGTGGTGAAAAACTTAACATATCGTCTCGCCCGGAATAGATTCATTTCATGAGAGAAAATACCATGTCGATTTGTAGAATTTTCCTCGAATCAATATCGATTTGTAGAATTGCGATAGTGATTTGGATAAGGAAAGAGGCAGTTCCAGATGTTGCTTGTTGTAATGCAGATGATACTGAGTAGTTGAGACCGGACGACGACGAGAGAAGAAATATCATGTCCTCCACGACGATGTCATCAAACGAAAACAGTTGCAGTCCCGAAGCAGCTGTCGTAGTCGTTGATGGTTCGCCAGCTTCTCCTGCGCGGGATTCCCCTAACAACGAGGATGTTGAAGCCTACAGCGACGATGCTGCGCCGATACCACGACTGTCATCGCTCCGAGACGCACGCGAGGCGGCCCGGCGCAGTCAATCAAAAGAGCCTGGAGCTTGTAGACAACAGCGAATCTCGGAAATCGATAGAATGCTCACAAGGTTGAGGAATACAAAAGCTGAGGCATATTCGGGAGGAACGGCTGGAGCGGGAAAAGAGACGAGAACAATAGACGATGAACACGGAAAGAGTATGAGAACAAATAATACTGGTGGTGCTGCTAGAAAGGGTCCTCTGGGCCCTCCCGGAGATTCTCCAATAGAAGAAGATGTTGTAGATGAGCGCTCATCTTCTTCATCATCCCCAGTAGAAGGCATTGCTGGCGCGAGACCTGCTGGTGTGAGCAAGAGCAGCACAGGAGAAGTGTACTACTCCCCTATGGAGGAGCCGCCACCCTCTGCCATTGAAAAACAAGCATTGAACAAACTAAATGTTGCTGCAGGCGCGGTTCCGTTCAAAGAAGAAGACTCCTCTGCAGGACTGCGAGAGGAGACAGCGGCAACCAGAGGAGATGGTGGGTCAGCGATCCGAAGTCCAACACAACAACACGCCCTAAAACCGTTTGAGTTTCACAATTACCCTCGTCAGGTGGCTACAAACGGTCACTCAGACGAGATGAGCAGGGTTGTCGTCCGCAAGTATCACGGTGGGAATCAGCATACAACTTCAGCGTCTTCTAATAACGCCGGAGGAAGTGCCAGGCCATCTTCATCATCGAAATCTACCGCGCGGAGAGGAGGAGGCTCTACATCTTCTGCCTCGACATCAAGACCTCCGTTTGATACTCGTCGTGGGGGATCTCATTCTCAAGGTTGTACCAGTTATAATTTTCAACCAAAAATATTAGCTTCTGCTAGAAGAAGTCGATCAGGAAGAGCAGGAGGCAGTGGGGTGCCTTCAAAATCGAATAGGAGCAGCTCTTATCTTCAAGAAACAATGTCTGCACGACTGCAGCAGACATACGGAGCACCGAGTCGCCCGATCCATTGGACACCGCCTTCTAAGAATAAAGCTGAAGCCTCAACGTCCAAAGGAGTAGGGGTTGATGCGCATGATAATGGTCACGGACCTGGATCACAACTACATCAAGTAATAGACAATACTAGAGCGGACGCAGCAGCGGAGGGAACAGCTTCCAAGAAGAACCACTCTGCAGGACCAGGTGGTGTTTCCTCCCCGTTCGCTTTTTATAACGACCACTATGTCGATCACGAAGGTAGTGCGAGTGATGCACGACTAGCAGATACATTTGAGCATCATCGAGGGGAAGCTTTACCAGGCCCTCTCCTCGTTGCAGCTTCGAGTAGATCCAACAGCTGCAACAATAGACGACCATCTTTGTCCGTCACCTCCGGAGGTCCTCGCAAAAACTTCTCTGCAGATACTAGATCAAGTAGTGCACGACGGCGTCAAGTAGGTCATCAACAAGGTGGAATTATAGATTATAGCTCAAAAAACAGTATGCGACCATTTTTAAGTGCGCGAAGGTCTGTTCCGCATTCACGTCGAGCGAGAACAACTCAGAGCATTGCTTCAGAGCTAGACTTTCGTGACAAATCCCCACTACGATCCGCGCGTGAGTATTTGCAGAATTTGACAGCAAATTCTAGCCCAGAGAAAATTCCACCAAACTTTCAACAGCAGTTGCGACAAATGCGTGCGACATCTTCTTCAAAGGGATCTTCTTCGAAGAATTCGTCACATGTGGAGTCAGCCAATGGAAGTAGAGTCCCATCAAAGAACAACGACATATCTGATTCTAAGAATAGATCAAAATCCAGCAGTGCTGCCTCCTCTCCACCTGCTTCATCGCCTGGAGAAAGTCAGAAGGCTCCTGATCATGATGCTGAGGATAATGTTGCAGGATTTGCAGACGATAGAGTAAATTCGAAGAGCAGTTCTGCGGCTTCCGTCGCAACGTTCTCTGCAAAGCCAAGGCGACAAGGCGCCTCCCAAATCGCTGATGCGAATGTCGTCATGGGCTTGGAGGAAGCACACGAGCAGACGCAGATTGCGGCAGACCAGCAGCAATACCCACAGCAGGGTACTATGACGAGTGCGACAAAAAATACTGATGCCACTGAACAAGCAGTCGGCAGAGTGGAGGATGAGCATGATGCCACGAAGAACGCTAAACCTGAACACGATGACGCTTCTTATAACGAGGAGCGACCTTCCCCTTACGCGAGATCCTTCTTCTCAGAAAGTTTTGAAAGCGAGCGGGAAAAACTGCATATCGACAGCATCATCGCACTGACATCTCCCGATAGCTGTTTCGCAGCTACACCCCCTCATCCCCTAGGCTCGCCGCCGCCTTCTATGCCTGCGGCTGCCGGAAGAGAGGATGTTGGAGACAAGGACGCAACAGGAGATGAGCCGAAGGCGCACACTGCTTCTGCTGGAGAATCAAGTCCGGCAAGGGCGTCTCTTGTCTCTTCACCTATTAATACCACAAGAAAGACAAAAGGGACGAGGACGACAGTGGCTTCTGCGAGGACTACAACAGCCAACTCGAGGACGAATATGGCGCCGAAAATTATCGGAGTTGATACTGACTCTGACGAGAAAACGCTGGATGAAGTTGCGAACTCATTCCCTTTTCCTTTTTTGACCGGCGGACGGGGGAGCGAGAAAAACAAAGCACACGACACGAGTGCGAAGGCGCCATGGAAGCGAACACCAAGTGCACCATCGTCCTCTTCTTCATCTTCCTGTGCAAAGGACGTAGGTGACATCAAGACGAAGTCAAGCGGTCAAATGAGTCGAAGTACTAGTCACACAGTTGGTGGCAGCAAGATGTTGAAGAGCCAGTTGAGGCGTATTCCGAACCCGATTAACATGCGGCTTCCGAGCCCGCCTCCTCTTCCCTCGCCAGGCCATCTCCTTGACACCATGGACACGAAAGTGATGACAAATGCGCGAATCAAGATCATAACACCAGGTAGCTGTGGCGCTGACGATCTTCTCCTGCCTGGCGGCAGCAATCTTCTTGCGAAAAAGCTCGCAGCACAAAACAAGTTTTGCGACTACGAGCCGTCGCTGGAGGAACTCGAGCGTAAGTACTCGAGGAAGCGCACGACGCCCAAAACGAGCCCACTGGGTGCGCCGACTGGGAACATGACAGTTATGAACGAGACCTCATAAAAATAATGTCCTCGGACAAGCACAAGGACAAGTAGAAGCTTGAAATGAGAATGTCTTTTTTTCCTGTGGTCCTGGATGGGGATGCATGATGAAGTCTAATATGATTCGTCAAGCTGATCATCCACATCACGATCATCATCTAAAATAAGTTTATCGCAACTTGCGAGTAGTAAAAAGTCTGTACTAGTCCACCAGCAATCGTCCCCACCCCTGCAGAGTGCACGAACACGCAAAGCACGCAGCCGCAGCGCCTCACCAACCACGGTCGTCGCACCGTCATCGTCTTCGGCCAACAGTCGAGGAAATAGCAGAGGACAGAGCAGGGATGGAACTGCAGCGAGAAGCAAGAGCAGAGAGAAAGATCTTCATCAACCTCCATCAACTACTAGTGGGACTAAGAATTATAAAGGCGCTGAGTTACAGTTATCTTCGAAGCAAAGTTCCAAGAACAGTGCACGCTCACGAAGTAACGAGCGCAAAAACACATCTGGTTCTAGGAAGAATATCATGAAGAACAGTCGTGCGAGTGCGAGAGGTCCTCCGACAAATTATAACTCAAATCCAACAAGCGCGACAACCCAGCCTCCACCTCCCGCTACTCCTCCAGCGCAGCAAAGTCAGTCTCTAGTTTTCGTGTCCTTTGCTGAGCCTCCCGCCAGTGGAGGCACCGAGGAAAAAGCCCATGCAACTTCGAAAATGTCCGCAGCCCCGCCAATGGCTTCACCGTTCTCCTTCTCTGCTGACCCGCCTGCAGATGACGATGAGCGTCTTTCGCTTGTGTCTGCTGGAGGCACCTCATCTTTTTTTGAGCCACCTGCGCGTATCAGTTCCGAGAGAACAAATACAAGAGCGCAGCTCGAGGTGCCGCCGATCTGGAGAAGAGAGGTCTTTTTTTTCAGTCACACTCCCAAAATAAGAGTTCAAGTTGCAGTTGGAGTTGAATTAGTTTGTCAAGTTGCTTTCTAGTAAGGATGGTTCTTGATAGAAGTAGTTGTCGACAATATCATTCAGAGACTGGTGAGACAGAGAGATGCGTAGTTTTTCGTGGTCATGTATAAATTCCCCTCGGAAAATACCATAACCACGTAAACTAGTGGTAGTGCTCCTGTAAAAGACATCATACAAAACCAGGTCAAGAGACATCATACAAAACCAGTGACTGGTAATAATTCATCCACTGACCTCAACAAATTGAAAAAAAATGCCGCGACGGGCGTACTCATCCTTGAGATGCTACATATGTCCTACCGGTTTCAAATCATCCTCACTCAAAAAGGGCGCTGCAGCTGCAACAGCTTCATCACGGACGAGCAGTGCCGTCACACAGGAACATAATGTGGGGAATCTATCAGCTAGTCGAGGGCTCGAAACTAGGCAATCGAGTCGTGCGAGCACGCCTGGAGAAAATGATTCAGCTAATTCTAATGTGGTTCCGCTAGCAGCTCGAATAAGCGGTGCGTCGGCTTCCTCCTCCTCGCGTGTTGAGGAAAGGCAGAGTAAAGGAAGCAGACTGCTAGACAAGAAACGCGGAGAGAATTTCGCAACGGCTCCACTCACAGCTCGCGGAGGAGCGACGTCATCGACTACAACTAATCGGACTCACCTCGCACAGGATCCATCTTCTACTTCTCGTTCGCCGACGTCTACGCCTCTACAGGAAGTGCTATTTCCTAATAGAGGTTCCTCGGCGCAAGCAGGTGGATCCGCATCGTCAACCGCGCCGTTGCCCAGCGCAAGAGTATCAACGAGCCCGCCAAAAAGTCCGATCAACATTACAACGACCCAAATTAGTTCGGATAAAGGCGTTCATCGTGATGTGGCGGCTGGTGAGGAGATGACGCGAGTTACTGCAAAATTGCAGGAACTGACCACAAATCTCGATAGTGTTTTGCGTGAAGAGATAGCGCTGCGAGAAAAGGTTGACAACATCGCAAAAGCTCAGCAAGACCTTGCCCAATCCCGACAAAGCAGGCTGTCAGGGACAAGTATGCCGCATTAGAGATCTAGTAGTTGTAGCTGGTGGCCGGTGTCTCGATGATTTTTATCTTGTCGATTGCAGTCTAGTCCCGCTACTACAAATAGAAAGAACCCTGGTCTAATATGCATGATATGCTCTCCAGCCACATCTATCTTCCAAGAACCTCCCACTATGATCTTGATCCATCCTCAACAGATGCGTCAACAGTGGAGCCCTCGCAAGAAATGCGGATCGACGATGTTATCTCTAAACTGGAGAGAATGGAGCGGACCAATGTGGAAATGGTGACTCGCATCGAGCGCAACGAAGGAGAAATGTCACACCTCCGAAACTCCTTTCAAGGCAACGTGGAGACCCTCATGGGATCATCAGAGGACGATGGAGGGGAGGTATTTTAAGAAGAAATGCGGCTTAGCCTTAGGAGGTAGATGAAGCAAGCATAGATACAACTTATGTAGCTGTGTACCTATACATACGGCCTGCTATGATCATAACGTCTAGAAGCGAGGAAAGCAGATGAACCGATTACGATAATTCGTAGACTGTTCCGTAACTCCGCATCATGATCATGACAGGTGCCGCGGTCCATCAGCATTGCTACAGATTTGAATCGTGTGGAGCAAGGTTCGGCTGCAACTTCCTTGGACACAAGCTTTTCGGCTGCTATGCTGAAAGGGCATGGTGGGGCTTCGTCTTCTAGTAGGGTTGTTGGCACTGTCTCTGGATTCTCTCAACAAGCAACGGCGCCAGTCACAAGATTAGCTGACTTGATTGAAGGTGTGACAGCGACCAAACTCTCTCTTGTGGAAAGCAATCTAGATGCCAGACTTCGAACTATGGAGGAAAACCTAGCCGCGCAGCTAAAATCTAAGGAGTGCGAAGTCTCTGAGCTAAAAATTGCAGTCGAAAAGCTTGCGGCGACTACACAGGCACTGAAAGACGACCATGAAACGGTTATCGCCGCGACCGCGAATACTGCAAAGAAAAGTACTTGTCATGGTTTCATCGAGTTGTTGTTCTTGTACTTGTACGACTATTATTCCTCCTTGAAAGAGATGAGACTTCATAATTTCCGAGTTCCTGATCGATAAATCAGTAAGAAGTTTGTTGATCATGATGATCCCGTTCTTGTCATTCAAAGACAACTTCATGACCGCGCTAACGTGGTCTATTCTTCGAGTTCTCCAACATCCTCACATCCTCAAGAAATCTCAGGTTTACTCCCCTCTCCTGGCGAAGATTCTGACGGCGCGTTGTGTTTGAGTTCTATCCTGGGTCCAAAGTCCTCTGGCTCAGCCCGCAGTTCGTTGGACGGATCTACTGCGGGTGGAGAAAACGATTTCATAGAAAGACAATCCAGAGCTGCGCGAAGAAGGGAACTTCTGGCTCAGTCACTAGCGCCTGTTCTATTGTCGCAGAACCGAGAAACTTTAAAGGCACAAGTCGAGGAGCATTTGGCGACGGTTTTAGCGGCAACCAAAAAGCCATCCCCAAATAGATCAAAACCAGCCTCACCGAATCAAACAGCGAGTTTACTTGCTGAAGTGGAATCTCGACAAGCTGAGAGTACTTAGTATGAAAGGGCTTTCTTCCCTCTGATGAAGGTTTCATGTTCAGAATCAGGTCATGATCATGTTGAGAAGATGAAGATTTCCGTCTTAACTTAAATCTGCTCAAGCACATAATGGTTTGCTTTTGCACTTGGTCCATCCTCATCGTTCTAAATCAGGTTTAGATCGTTCGCGTGAGCAGGTCGAGCGTGCTCTCGCAGGATTGCGCGAGCGGCTGGACACAGTCGAAACGACGTCAACGTCACGCGTGCGTTCTGCAGAAGAGGAGGCCACGAGCCTGCGCACACAGCTTCAAATTCTCGCAAGTCGAGTCGAGGGGATCATGTCGTCAGGACGCGGGTCTCTCGTCGCGGCGCGAACAGAGGAAGAGCTCGAGCGCCTCTTGATGCATGACCCAAAGACACAAAAACGAATCCAAGCGGTTATAGAGCGACAATTGGTCGTGGATGCTTCTTCATCTAGTGGAAGAAGAAACCCTGCTGAGGGGACACCAGGCGTCGAGCAAGAATCTGCCACTGAAAACGATGCGTCAAGTCCCTCAGCCATCAGTCTGCGGATTCCACCACCTGCAGACAAGAAGTCACCGAAAGAAGCAAGAAGTCGGAGTCCACCTTCTTCTCCCTTGTTGTCCCGCGCGGTGCGTGAAGCTGCTCAGCAGGCCGTGCGTGACGAATTGACGTCAATCGAGCGTCTGGCTGGCAGCAAGAGAAAGCTAGAAGAGGAGCAGCAACGGCTGAATACGTTAGAAACTGAAGGACGAAAGATAAAACTTCAACAAGAGAAATCATCACCATTGTCGCGGGATGACGCAGCTGCACTAGTTTCTGCCGAGGTCGGTCGGCGCATGCAGGCAATGCGAGAGAATATTCTAGATCAACTTCGTCCGGCTTTGCAGGGACTGGACGAGGCGGAAGCTCGAGGACTACAGCAGATGCAGGGGAATGGGAAGAATAAAGGCGGAGCAGGAGGAAAGTCCACTTTCTCTCCTCCGTCTCGAGCCGCTGCAACGTCATCTGTTGCGAAGCCCGTGGTCGTTAAAAGCCCTAGCTATAATAATATGAGTCCTCGCTCTAGGCTGAGAGCTGACTTGAGTCCTATTGCGAGGCTTGCCCAGGAACTCGATTTGCCAGAGTTGCTGACTCTGGAAGGCGGTCACCAGGACCAACCGGACCACGCGGCCGAAAAAGAACTTGTTCGCCATGATGAGACTTCGAATTCGCATTTGCGAAGCAAGATTTTGCGTGCTTTGTTGCAGCCTGGCGATAGCTCAGCATGTGCAAGCTCGTCTGCCTCGTCGGGAGATGACCGGGACGAAATCGCGAGACGGATTAATCGCAGTGTCGATCTCTTCCACGATGACATCGCTGAGCTGCCTTTGCGTCGTTTTTCCCCGAACCGGAAAGACGAAGACGGACGATTTGTTCAACAGCAGAATAACTACCATGGTTTGTTAGACGACCTGGAGCAAGAGAGTTTGCGACTAGACGAACAAGGGTTGAAACCGCCGGAACGACGCCAGAAAACCCCGATCGACATAGACGTGTCTTCGGTGGTGTTTCCACGGTCTGATGAAGCAGAAGTGGACAAAAACCCGTTTAGCAGTCCTCGCAGCCCGATTTCCACATTGCTGAACGCGGAACAGCGCGCTAGTGAGGCACGTCGCGCGGACAGAGAGCGAAAAAAAGCGGATGAAATAGCCGCACGACGACAGAGTCCAACGTCGCCGTACCGCCTTCGCAACGATCCTACGGCTTCGCTCGATGATGTCCTGCAAGACCTGCATCTGCTAAACACGTCTTCGAGCACAGCTGTGCCGGAAAATCGACGTAAAGCACCTGCTGCCGGCACATCGGGAAGGGCGTCAGCCGGTGGCGGTGGTCAGCCTTCACTAGTAGGCAAAGTAGGAACTGGTGGACAACAGCAGGCATCCGCCTCTACTTCATCGTCCTCTAGATTCTTCAGTACTGTTAATGCACTCAAAAGCAGCAAAAATGCCATGAGCACCTCTTCATCTGCCATTCTAGATAGTCTGCTAGCTTCCACCCCGGTGGCTTCAACACCGCTACAACCGGCAGCCCGATCGCCACAAGAAAGACGACGGTCCCTGAAGCACACTGTTTCTAGTACCTCCGAGACGAGCGATGACGATTTATTTCGGGGAGCTGTCCAGCAAACCTCAGCCGAAGCCACGGATTTGCGACGGGAGCTTGACGCCCTGAAGGCACAACTCGTAGCGTGGCAAGTGGCACCTCCAACTCTTGCGTCTTTGCGGAAGATTGAGAAGGTAGGGGGAGACGGTGGAGGAAGAAACGCTGGTGGAGCAGGTTCCGCACGAGCAAGAGAAGATATAGCAAATGCTGAAGACGATGAAGATGAGAAAATTGACCTTGTTAGTACAACAGGAGGGATCAATGCAAATGATAACGCTTCATCTTCAGCAGCGGAGGGTGCAGATGATAAGAACAACGGGGCAGCATCTCCTTCATCGCTCAACAGTGACACGGCCGCTCTGAAGTCGTTCTTAGACAAACACAAAGCCAAGAGGCAGAACGTGAAGAAAAAAATGAATGCAGGAGCAGACAGTACGAAGAAGAAAGAGAAAGACGTCGCGGTGACCCCTCAGGAAGCTCCTGCGCGACGTAAGAGTCGACTGCAGAAGGCGTTGAAGCTTCTGGAAAGTGAAGAAATTCACGAGCCCAAACGCCTTTTTCGATCAAGCGGGTGGTGATTGAGAAGTGGGCATGTTGTTTTTAGTCTCGCCTCGTCCTCACTCTCACAGCTCCTGTCTAAGCAGCAGCTAGGTTTCCGCTTACAACTAGTACAAAAATGTAGCTCTTGAGTTCTTGAAGTACCTCTGTCTACAAACTGAACTGTTTTTTTTGTTCTTCTTTCTGCTGAAATGTTGTAATTATGCGTTGTAATCACGACAGGATATGTCGTTAGTCTCAAGGGGGCGGATGACCTGACAGTTATTGAATAGTGCTGAGCTTCAGTCTTTTTTTGGTCAACCACTCATAATTAATGCGCTTCATTCTATTTTTCATCATCTTGTTCTTGTAGCTATATCCGCGTGCACAGCAGAAGATGCAGTCGAACTTTGATGTCTAAGCATGAAGATTTGATGCGTACGCTTCTAGTGCTATTCTAGGGTTACATTACGATAACAGTATTTTGTTCTTAGGCAGGGTTTCGCTCTGTATTTTATCGACAACAATCGACCTTGTTGCCCAAGCTCATAGCATTGAACAGCAGCTGCACCTGCACCTGCAGCTGATAATAGAAATATATACCGTTGAATCCGAATATCATACAGGAAACATTCAAATTCATTGAGTTAGGCTTAGATCCAATCCTAGCAGTTGTAGAGTAGTTTCGGTTTCCGAAAATATATATTGTAGCTTTGGGAATGTGGGAAGAGCGACGATAACCAAACAAGATGGCGTCGTTGGTTAGTTGTAGTTTCGTTTTTTGCTCGCTGCAGGAGCATGTCAAGTGCATGGACCTAACGACATCTCTGATAGCAAATTCCAATCACATGCAGAGGAAGATGACATTTGCAACCTCCACCTTTAGCACATTTCTTCTAAGCACCTATAGACGAAGGTGATTATGAAAAAATGTGGTGGATAGACATAGACTTCTTGCTTTCCTTGTCCTTGTCGGCGGCTTGTTTTGCTAATCGTGTCTGAACAGCAACAAGAGTCCAGCTGGAATGAAGTACAAGGAAATGGAACACACCGGCACCGCACGTCGCACTCGAAAGAACGAACAACAGTATGGCGATGATGAATCAGGAGGTACGCTCCCTCCTCCGATGTCGGGGCTTCTGAGAGTCTAGTTCTCCTGCGGGTTTGAATAATGGCGTATGAAAAGAATAGTCACTATGGGACCGAAAGAGAAGCGGATGACGACGAATTACGTAGTACAGTGGTAGTAGACAAGATCGACGATTTTCTTTCATTCATTCCTGAAAAATTACGATCAGAATCTCGATCCTCAGATAAATCTTGAATGAAAAACGGAGCATTCATATTTGATAAACGAAAAGATGAAGAGTATGCACCGCCAGCTCTCGATGTTGAGGCTACGAAGCAATGTGGCACCAACGATCGCTTCGACGTCCTCCACGCGGTTGAGGATCTTCGTCTCCGCAAGCACAAGAAGCGCCTCGTCTTCAACGACGTCAGACGAGTGCTCTGACACAACTGACGGCGATCTTCATGAAAATAAGAAATCTCCCGGAGTTGCCGATGCCGGCAAACCCTCTGCGTATCAGATGGCTATTCTGCGTGGTGACGTGGAGAAGGCTGCGGAAGAAGCGATGAAGAGTCCACAGGGACTGCCATTCGCTGCTAATCAGTGCACACAGCGAGCACTCTTGTTGTACACGAGCGCTCGAGAGGAGCGGGAAGCCGCGATCACGACAGCACAGACGGGACTACATTTCCGCGAGCAGTTTGAACTGCTCTCGGAGCAGTGCCGCAATGACAAGGAAGCCATGAGAACTTTGCTGTTGCAGCCAACGCTGTGGGCACCCGTATGCCAACAGGAGTTCGTGCGTCTGGACACTAGCCTGAAGCTAGCCCGTGCAGCTTGCTACATGCGAGGATACTGGAACAGTGAGGAACGAAAACTTGACGATTCTATGTCCGGTAACAAGAGTCAAGATGAAGCGTGTCTACCTCCGAGTGCGATGGAGTACCAAGTGATCGGCAAAGCTGTTGTTGGACGGCTCCTGACTGGTCGCATTGCCTCGGTTTTGCAGTGTTTTATGGGTATGCGACTATCACAGCAATTTCATCCTAAGGTCTTCGACATTCACGTCAGGGCAGCCCGAAATTTCGAGGAAACAATCGCACCGCCTGGTCCTAAAGGCCCGCTTGATGCGGAAGGGTCTTCTGACGCTAGCCCTACGACGTCATGGACAACAACTGACGCGGAATTCGACAAGTGGATGCGCGACCGTGAAGAAGGTGTTGCGAAGCAGCTGAAGCTTGTCTCAGAATTGGTGGCTGAAATCACGCTTCAAATGCTGCCCAGGGAAGAAGGGAAAATGCTTTTGCACGCAGCAAGAGAATTCTTCAACAACGAATGTCAAGATCCTGAGACAGTGAAGCGTTGTCTAAAAACCTTTGAGAGCACAAATGACATGATCTAGAGTCTGAATCTGGAGGAATTCCTGTCCTTCATTGAAGCTCTTACATTTTTTTTGCTCATTTTTTTTTCGATTTTATTCGAGGAAAGATTTTTCGTGTATTATATTATAGAGACCTTGATACTTTGCATCTTTTTGGGGATACCAGCCTGGGCATCTTCGCCAAGATTTTGTTTCTCACCAAGAAATTTCTAACCAAGTCCAAGATTTTGTTTTCATCTGAAAAGAAAGAAACGTTGCGAGGATTAGTTTTCAACCTGGTGGAAGAGAAGGAATGACAAAGCATGTCACGACACGCAGACTCAGACGAACACCCCAAAAAATTTCTGCAATCGCACAGGCATTTAGACCTATTTCTTGAGCTACATCAATAAAATGTCGACCGAAGTTTCTTCGACCAAAGCGGGTGAAGATAACGCTGATGACGATCGCTCACTGATCTACTACAAATGGGATTGGAAAAGTGCTCCTTTCGCTGCCCCGACGAGCAAGACCAAGAACGCGCGTGCAATCGTATGCCTCGTCTTTCACGGCCTGCATTCGCACGGACGCTATGGCCACACGAGTTTCATGGCTGAGAGCTGCTTGCGGGTACTCGACAGCCACAGAAAAGAGCAGGAAACCCAGCACCAAAAAGCCTACGAAATTGCGGTTTACAGCGTCGATCTACCTGGACATGGAGAGGCGAAAGGAACTCGAGGTTTGTTGCAATTCCCAGATTGTGTGGACCATGCTGTGATAGCGGCGCGCGCAGTTTGGAAAATGCATGCGGACGCAGAAGGTGGAATAGTCTTGCATCTGATGGGCTCAAGCATGGGCGGATCTATCGCAGTGCTCTGTGCAGCGCGGCTAGAAAAAGAAATGCGAGCGTGTGGCAGTTCGGAGGCAAAGCCCTTGGAGGTTGCATCGGTGATACTGTCAGCGCCGCTAGTGAAAGTGAGAAATCCGCCGTCGTCAACTCTGGTTGGGATTCTGCAAGGGATTTCCTGGGTTGCTCCCTCTCTCGCGATTTTATGAGTTTACTTGGAATGAGTACTTACGCTTACCTAGGTGGTTCGTCCTTCTACAGTCCTGCAGAAGTGGATGCGGATTTATTTATTTTCTTGATTTCTCACGACCATCACAGACATACCACCATAATACTGACCCGCAATGATTTTTATAGATGAGATGTATGATTATGAAGAAATCGTGTCTGTTCATCTCACTTTCCACTTTTCAGTTTTAGTCATAGGAGGTCCTTTCATACTTCCTTTCCGCTCCCACGGGAGATCCGTCGTGGCAATACCGGGATCCTGTGCGCTGCGCAGCGTGCGCGGGCGACTCGTTAGAATACAGCGGACGACTCCGACTTGGATCAGGCGAGACGGCAATAATGATCACGCGCATAATTCCCGATGTTACGGCTAGTAGTGATAAGTAGTCTATTTCGTCATCCCCACGAGAACATTGCATCCACTCTAGAAATAAAGATGCAAACCTCGTCGTCAACTTCCTGGTCGCTTCCTGACTGGTGCTTGATCAAGGTGCAATCAGTGTTTGGGAATAGAGCTTGACACGATGGTGCCAGCTCTTCTCAAGGTTATTTGACTCTAAGACATAGGTAGCCGCGCTGAAGAAAACAGGCATGCTGGTTCTCGCGCCGACCTTATGGGAAGTACTAAGTACTTAGTGTTAGTAGACATGCACATGGACATGCTTCTTGTTTTAGAGGGTGGAAGAGGTACAAACACTGCAAAATAAGTTGTCGTCCTTATTCTTGTATATTCAGTGGACCAAATTCAAATTCTTCATGTTCATCTTCTAACCTCCGACGAGCGAATAGTGGATGGCGACGCAACGATGACCTTGTGCGAATTGGCCACTAATCTCCCTGACTCCTTGAAGCGGCTGCATTGCTGTCCGCTTGCGAGACATGGCGTGTTTGGCGAACCGCCAGATGCTTTGCTAGAGATAGAAATGGCACTCAGCAGTTGGATTGCGAAATTTCAATAGTTCAACATGAATATGCTCATGGTCGTGATTGTCATCGTGCGACGTTTCGTAAAACAACAGTTCTTATCATGATGATGATGATGATGAAGACTCTATGCCAGCAGACCCAGATACTATATCTTTGACTTTCTTTAACAAGTAACGCTCGATAAGAAGTGCGCAAAAATGGTTCTGCCCAAAGGCAAAATTTTCGTCCAGTGAAGCTGTTTGCAGAAGAATTGAAGACTATTGTAAACTCGTTGAAACGAGTGAAGTCGGCGGAAGTCAAAGGTGGAAAGAATGAGAGACTGAAAAAAAATGAAAGTGACCAAAAAAACGCTAGATGAGTGAGCCAAAAATGGCAGAAATGACCAATGTAGAAGTAAGCTCGCTTTGAGTATAATGGTAATGAAGTTTGAAAGATTATATCTTCCTTCGCTCTCACTCCTTAGGTGGTACCATTAGGTACAAGAAAGAACAGCAACAGACTATTCACGTATCAACATAGCCGCGCTTTGCAGTCAAGGGGCACAACGGTGAGTGCTTTTGGTCCGTCGTCGAGGTAAGATGGCTGACGTGGTCGCGGGCTCTGATGGGGAACCCGGTCCAGCAGCTGGCGGGCCTCCCTACCTATACGAAGCGGAGGTCGTTCGCGATTACGTCGATCCTGAGGAGGGAGAACATACTTAAGGCGGAGAAGAAATTATAGACTTTTTTGCCATGTTGCTCTGCTAGTTGTTTCCTATTTGCGATGCATGTACTTCCACTTCATCTACATGTTTCTTTTACTAGTTGTCGTTGTGCAACATCAATCAAATAATACTAGCATCTGCAGGATGGGAACGATGTTGGTACTAGCTCTAATCCCCGTTGCGACTGATCACAGGCGAGCGCATATTCGTATGCGAAACGGACGAGGAAAGTTCATGGTGGGGCGGCTATCGAACTTGCAATCCAGATTTCTGTGGCTGGTTTCCAAGCCCCTACGTGAAGAAGATTCCAGGATCTGAGCAAATTCAAGAGGAACTAGAGGTTGTCCCGGACGATCATGTAGAATTAGTGTTAGAGGCGAATCCCGGTCCTACTGGTCACGAGAAGGAGGTTATAGCGATGAAAGCAGAGGAGGAACAAGTCGTTGCAAGTGGAGAGGATGCGACAGTGAAGCCAGGTACAACGAGCAAGAAAGGGTCGCCGGATTCGACCGTGGCCGAGTCGCTTTCATGTTCCACGAAGGAAGAAGACCATTCGGCTTCTGTCGCCAGTCCCGGGAGTAGAAGAACGAGCAAAGAGTCGTCTGTAAATGTTGCGTCGACTGCCGGAGGTGGTGTAGGGTCTACTTCAGGTGCATCCTCCTTAGTCGGGGCAGGAGGATCAACTACGTCGTCTTCACTCCGGGGAGTAGGAGGAGGTATAGCTAGTGCTTTAACAAGTAAACAGAGTACAACGGCAAACAGCACAACTTTGTCTGGATCCTCTTGCGGCCCAACAGGAGCAGTAACTGGACCTTCTAGTGCGACGGCTGCTAGCACCGCTGGCACAGCGGCCATGGCCACGGGCGGACCCAGTCCTATGAAGAAGAACAAGTCAGTCCTCGACCGATGGAGGCATGGCGCCAACGCACCTCCGCCAGAACCAGAGAAGGAAACTTCAGAGGAAGTAGGGGCGAAGCAGGAGGACGACAAGACAGGTACTGGATCAGATGTAATTACAGAGAAGAAAGAAGTTGAAACAGTAACAACAGGCAGGAGCAAGACTACAAGAGAAGCTACTCCTGCTGCACCAGCTGCATTAGTTGAAAACACTACGGTGGACCTTTTGGAAGGCACGTTGTCGAAGACGGGAGCATCAATTAGTTCGCCTGGTGCTAGTCTTGCGGACACGCCTCCAAAGCGAAATTATGGTCGCTTCGTACCTCGTGTGAGACCGACAGCAACACGGGAAGGAGAGAACAACGATACAAGTTCTTCGAAGACGATCGGCATGGGATCCGGTAATACAGATAACGTTAGAACAAGGCGAGTCGAAAGCGCTTTCGCGGATGTGCTAGACCATAAAAAGGAGCAACGGGAGGCAGCTGATCGTGAAATCGAACAGGAAAAGCTCCAGCAGGTACAAATCTTCTTTCATAATCTTTCAATTCATAATGCAAGAGAAGGAGCACTCGCACGGCTATTTTTCAAGAACTACTCTCCGAATCAATCATGATCTAATTGGCCGTGAATTGGTTTTGCTTGCATCGTCACGAATCTTCTATTCAGGTTCGCATGAGCCACGACATCAGGATTCTGAAGGAGCAGGTGGAGGATCTCAAGAAGGAACTAGATCGAAAGGATACGCAACTATCGCAATTGCAGACGGATAAAAGGCGGCTTGGCGATGATGGGGACCGCAAGAGAGATGGACTCCTAAAATTCATTGAAGCTAAGCTTGGCGAGAAATTGAGTACCGCACAAATCGAAGCTGTCGAGAGTGGGGATGTTGACGCGAAGAACATTCCAAATACGAAGGGCTTGGGGAATAAACAGTTCTTCGTACATGGAAGAACATTTTTCTAGGATAAGCATAGCAATGTTCATCTGAATCATTCGTAGCTACACGGAACTGACTGTTACCGGACTATTTTTGAGTATCCTCGACAACATTTTGTTAAGGCGACAACTTCGCGGCCCAGCACTGAAACATTTGAAAACTTTCACAACAGGCAAGTAGTCCTGGAGACGAGAGTCGTAGTTCTATTGAAGCCCCTTTGAAACGGGAGGTGAAAAAGCTGCAGGAGGAGGTAGAAACGCAGAAACGGAAGCTAGAAGAGGCGACGCTCAAAGCGGAGCGCTTGGAGACGGACTGCGCACAAAAAGAGTCCGACAAGGAGTACCTGAACCATTTGCTGGACGAAAGTTACAGACTGTGGAAAGTGGACAACTCAGAGCGCGGAAAGTGGGGTAATATTCAGAATATTTTCGCAATTCAGCGCCTGCTTGTTTTATTTGAATAGATATAGATTGAAACTGATTGTGGCCGTGTCTGATTAATTTGATGTTCTCCATTGGCGTAAAAACAAATAAACCATGAGCATGACTGAAAATATACGACTAGACCATTTTTCAGTGAAAGAATCTAGTATCTGATACTGATTCCTGTTCTTCCTCTTTCATCATGGTCACGACCACCCTAGTTCAAAAGTATTACGACCGCTACATCGAATTGGAGGGCATGCTGATCAACAGTGACACGGAGGAAGGCGTTCGGAGAATAAACGCAATCCGGCCGTTGCTGTTGGAAAAGCGCGAGAAAAGGGCAGCGGCGAAAGAAAAGAAGAAGAATTCGACGTCGACGAGTATCTACTTCGAGTTTACGCTTGAAGATTTTGTCCCATCCTCGATATTGATGTCTTCATGATTACTGAATTAGAATTTTCTTCGAAAAAGAGTCGGGATTTGATTGCTACTTCTCCGTAGAAAATTGTTGACTTCGTCCCTCTCTTAGGTGGTCCCGACAAGATGCAGAGTTTACATTCTTCAATCGGTCTTGGAAGTACTACTTCAACGCGGCCCAGGCGATCGGATATCGTCGCAAGTATGCCAGAGCCTCCGATATCCGCACGTGGCGGGCAACCTCCACTAAGTGCCACACGATCTGTGCCTGCTAAGACCACAGGCAATAACTCGCAAAGCCATCATCAGCTATCCGCTTCGTTATCCGCGAGTCGCAGCAATGGCGTCCATCGGTCCATTTCGACCTCGAGTAATTGTATGACGCCGCAGCCGGCGCCGTCACGTAGCGCACGCACACCTGCTAGCGCAATGCAGAACAAGAATCGGGCGCCAGTCGCGCTGACGATCAATCTGTCTGGCATACAACATGGAGGTGGAGATTCGGGACCTTCTAGTAGCGGGACCTCGGGGGTTGGCGGCAGTCTGCTAATTGTTCCTTCAGCTACGGACGGCACTTCAGCAGGAGACGGCAACTCTACAAGTGGAGCAGGAGTTGCACCACTGTCAGCGCGGGGGCCGGTACCAGATTCCGCCCGCTGGGGCGACACGCCGGCCGCCCGCAGGAAGAGGCGGGAAGAGCTGCTAGAGCGATCTTCGCAGATGCTAGAGGGAGCAAGCAAGCAGACTCCTCGTCCGTCGGTTGACCTCTCCTCGAGTCGCCGCGTCATTTCGGGACTCCACCGCGAACTCTCCTGCACCTCGAACTCAGGAGCAACCGCCGGATCAGGCGTGTTAACGCATACATCGAGCATCGCGTCTTCAGGAGCTGCTTCCACGACTTCGCGACGCTTATCCGGAGGTCCAACTACAAAGGGCCTGGGGGCCGAGTGGACTCCGTCGACCAGACCCGCCCCAGTGCGGAAGCCAACAGGTGTGATGCTGCCAGGTGCAGGCATACTTGGAGGCACGACTGGTGGAGCCGACTCCACTCAACAGCAGGAGTTTGAGCCGACTTTTGTCTCGTCCCCAACTATCAATGATCTAACCTCAAACAAGAACGAACGACGAAGCAGTATCAAAGATCGGATGCAGGCATTCGAACGATAACAGTCCTTGATCATGCGAAATAGAAAGTTGGACGAAACTTACTTTTTAGATCATATTAATCATGTCGTAGCTTCTATCGAGGGAGAGGACAATGAAAAATCGTGAATCCATGATTGAGAATATATGTAAGAATTAGATTGTACGGATAATCATATTGATCCTCATGGTTATTAAAGTAGGAATAGAAGGAATGTGAAATTCAAATGTTTGTCCTTTAATAGCAGCACGATTGAAGATTCATCGATTCAAGACTATAATAGATACAGCTTAGCTCCACTTCTGTCTCGTCGCCTATTTCACTAGGAAAAAGTTCATTTTCGTCCGCCTTTGAATACTGCATGTTCTTCCTCTTCAGCCTAAGCTTCCTTGCAGTCACTGCTCTGACGTGATGAGCATGCAGATGAACTCGCTTTCATTCCAGGATCTCATCCTCCGAAAATATCTCCCCTCCTGCGCAGCAGTTACTGAGTGGCCAAACTACTACATGCATCAGCGTCCTGCTCGCCCAATATACGTGTTAATATTAGCACTCACCTGGTCTGATCATGAAGTTGTCGATCGTTTTTGCGTGGTAATGGGTAATATTTTTATGACGCAAGAATTCCAATTATTTAAACAACAACCGGTTCACCTTATAGAAAAATTCATCATATCATTGACTACATGTCATTCATTATCATCAAGCTATGAAATTCAACATTTCAACATCACAACCATCGGGGACAATTCATTTGACTTTCTTTTTTACAACAATAACCTGAACTACGATCAAGCCTCTGGGTCTTCTGTGCAAGAACCGTCTTTTCTTTGTCTTACTTACAAACAGCACTACCTTTCTCATTATACTGCCACAAACAACCGCAAAAGTTGTTACCGTTACGCCAATTAGAAGTAGAAGATAGCTCCGACTCACACTTAATATGCCGCAGCCGCAGCCGCCACAATAAAGACAACCACTCTGGTGCATCATTTTTCACTCACAGTGTATTCCTTCGGTATCGGTATCGTTGTCGTTCATGGATAGAATGTGATAGAATGACTTCAATATGAATTCGTTGCAATTGTACAGACCACTACTGGCTAGATCAACTACTACTACATGACATCAAGCGTCTCCTCACTCTTCAAGCGTGACGAAATCAAATATAGAAAGAGGAACGGCTAGCAAGAAGTATCATGGTGTTTGATGTGCAAGCTCAACCTGTACCTGTTTCAAAATTTTTCTTGTGCATAGCAACCCAAGAAGCAGTAACTACGACATAAACAGATTATTATCACGCGCGAATGATGCATCAAAATTAGCATAGTCCTAGTAGTCGATTGATCAAAGATAAAGCAACCACTCTCCTATGAATCAACTACATTGATTATTTTTATCGCATCGTCATGGTAATTCTTTGTGACTGGTCGACAATGAGTTTTGAAAACCAAAACGAACTGCAAGCATGTAAAACAAATACATCAACGATTCATCAACCATAGAAACATCTCCTCTGACAAGATACGCTCGTCTTCAAAGAGAAGCGGGTGAATCTTTGACAAGCAAAGCTCAAACCCCTGTATGCTGAACCTGAAGCTTATGCATTTTCTCCTTGCCTATTCGACATCAGGCACAATCTTCTTCAATGAGAAGATCGTGATGTCATCAAGCCAGAGAGTGAGAGTCTTGTCTCTGACCTGAGCGTGTAGTCGCATTTATGGCCATTTATGGCATGATTTGATGGTATGTTGGACAGCTCCAGCTGCAAACAAGAGTGTCGTGAGGCGGGGTGACCCAGAAAGAAACGAAGATGACTTCGTTTACCTGTGGTTGTTCTGCTGCAATGCTGCGAATAGTAGCCTTCTTGTTGCCGCTTGCTGCTTCTGCATGGCCCGATTATAGCGCTGAAAGATCCACCGCACCTGGCCTATCGCGGGTCATGTCTTCCCCGTCTGAAGGCCTTCTTCAACAGCCTGCTCATCACGGTAGCCCGCTTTCGACAAGATCGAACCGCAACACAGAACATCAAAAGAGTGCGAAGAGACAGTCGTCCCCTAGACCTGTGTTGGAAAGCAGGAGTGCCGAACGTGCCTCCTCGTCTCATCGTAGCGCAGTTTCATCTCACTTTCGTCTGAAGTCTACTGCATACTCCCGAAGTCCAGCAGCTGTTGTCCAACATGAAGATGCAGTAACAGGAAGCTCCTTTGTCGACATACCGCTGCGCGAAAGTGCACAGAAAAATGGAAAGTACCTCATAGATGCGGCCGTCGGAACTGGTGAGGGCCATGCGTCCCAGGTGATGATGTTGTCCATGAACGCGCCTTTCACCTGGGTTGCCGGCGCAGAGTGTGAAAATTGTGAGCCGCTACCCCCTGCCACGGCAAAGTTTGACTCGTCGAAGAGCAGCAGCTGGAGTAACGGGAAAACTCCATTCAACGATACAATGAGCTTCGAGTATGGCAGTAACTAACTGATATTATGACAACGATGATGATCTTCAAGTGGAATGAAGGCCTTCATGTCTGATCATGAAGGTGCAGGGTTTTTCGAGTACCTACTTGTAGCTCCAGCACGACCACTTCTCAAAGTATAATAAAGTCCTATGTATTGTAATATTTTTCGGGCTTATCTCACACTACAAGAAAGTAACTTCATCTTATCACTGCGGCTTTTTTCATTCGTTTTGAGTTCTTTTCGTTTCTCCTCTTCTCACCCCATCTTAATTTGACATACGACGCTGCGAAGGGCGTGCTTGGACAGGACATGGTGCACATCAGAGGCACAAAAGCGACACCACCGTCACCAATCGCCAAGCACATAGCGGCTCGCTTGAGCGAGCTCGAGCCCCTACCACTGCCCTTCGGTGTAGTCCAGCACACACGACGCGAAGGCATGCTATTCGGAAACGGGTTTTCTGGCATATTAGGACTCGCTCCGGACTCTAGTAACTCTCTAGTCACAGGGCTCCGGTCCAAGGGCCTCATTTCAGCGTCATTAGCGGCTTTAGATCTCGATGTAGTTGTGGGAGATGAAGACGATGAACATCAAAGGACCGAATGTGTGAGAGAGAACAACTTCGATGATAGAAGGAGCACAGCCTTGAGAAGTCGCAAATCTGGAGTTTTACGAATAGGTGCTGTCGATTCGGAGAAGTTCGATCTTATGCACTGGTTCCCAGTAATGCGAGGCGCGGGAGGAAAGAGTGACAATTGGCGCGTCGCGTCTCCCGGAAATTTTAGTGCCAATGGGCACACTTTCGACTCCTCGACCAGTCGCGAACATGGCGTACTTCTGACGACAAGTCTCGATGGCATCGCGGTTCCTGACGACGAGCTTCACTCTTTCGTGGAAAAATATCTCAAAAAATTCGTCCGGAAAAGCACGAATGGTATTGATATCATTTGCTCACGAACGGCATTCCCAAATCTTTGTTCTCAATGTGTGGCATCATACACTTCGTTGAATCATGACGTAACTGACAAAGACAATGAGACTTGTCATAAGCCGAGCAGGATGTTGTTGTTTATCCTTTCTTGTACTACTTGAACAATTACAATGGATAACTAAGTCACTGTTCTATCAGTTCTGCACATGACCATGCTGCTGCTCAGGTGTCTACCTTCTTTCCGCGGATGCCGAGCTGGCCTTGGATGTGTGTTTCACAAGTGACAGCAAAGAAGCGAAATGCTTTGTCCTACGATCCGAGGACCTGTTCGCTGAGACCTATCTTGCCGGTTTGAAAATGTTGATGATGCTACCACACTCTCTGATGCGTCCAGGGTTTCCTCTCGGACTCAGCGGCTGGATCATGGGCACCAGATTCTTACGCAGGTAATAACCACCACATAGATCATACAGACGATTTTCATAGTGGTACAAATGCAAGCATTACGGTTATTACTTGCAGTAGTTCACAAACGCGCACGCGGGGCCTGTGCAGATGAAATACTAGAAATACGTAAAGGAGATGTAGGCCCTGGCCTTTTTGGACTCGCTTTCGTGTCAGTGATACAACATGATTAACCCTGTGTATGATCTTCGTATTCTATGCCCAAGGTATTACTCGGTCTTCGATTGGGGATCGACGTTGCCACTGCTAGCGCCGCGCGTTGGCCTTGGTCTTAAGAACCGACCAGCATCAAGACCTGCGCAAAGCGACAGGCAATCTGGAAGATCTCCGTTGCCTGCGCATGAGAGGGCTCGCATTTGGACATAGAATATACTTTCCTCTTGCGCGGGGAAAGGCCAAAAAATATGTGTTGAAAAGGATGCAAGCATAAAAACGACAATTAAGCAAAGACGTTATACTTATAAGTACTAGTACTTGTAGTTGTTACGGTATCATTATAGGGAGGCGGGATCATGCAAAGGCTTAGGCTTTTCTTGTTCTTGGCAACAATCTCAATTCCGACAAGAATTTTCCAGGGCCAACACACGTACACGTGTAGTAGATTCGATCGATTCACCGCTCGACGTTCCGTGGTGTTCACACATCTACGGAACGTCTCGCGTTGTTCTCAAGCCTCTCCATCATCAATACTCGTTCGCCGCCGTCTCCTCCAAAATGCGAATCGGAAGAATGTCGTTCTTGTGGTCCATTCATTATCACTCGGACCACCCCACCGAGGACTGAGGTCGGCGCGATAGTGCCAGCTGTTGAACAAGGCCGTTCTCTCAAAGTGCACCAAAGTGATCATGAAACAGATTCAGATCATATCTGGTACTAAAGCCTTTGTTCCGTGGCCGATTGTGATCAATCGATCTGGTGCTTTCTGATGTCGGTCAAGATGCAATTATCCGCTGGTCCTGAATGACATTTTTAAGACTGCTCTTTGTTGCCAGAGGAACAAGTTTTCTCTTTCTTCTTACTTTATGATAGATTATGATTTATCAGGTAGAGTATGGGACCTTGTTCGCATACATTCCACATCCATTCACACAGTTTCCTCATCCTGATCAGGAGGAGGAGGGGTGTCGTATTAATGTTATTGTATTACTGCTCACTGGCGCTAACGGTGCACCCGCCTTGTGTGCTGCACCTGTTCCTTTATTAGCTGGTGTTATACTAGAAACATGAATACTAGTAGATATTCCATTTCTAGAGATCGCGGCAACTACTTACAACCATGTTTATTGGTAGAAGGTCAAACACTCTGAAGATGCGTCTTGGTAAAGTTAGAGTGCTTTGACGACGTGATCTGGTGCCTATAAAAAGTCGTGGTTACTCTGTTGCTGGTCTTGGCCAGCTTGTTCATCATAACTAAGCAACGCGCCAAGACAAACAGAAGGAGAAGAGGGGCTACATGAGATTACCTAGTGCTTTATTGGATTGTAGTCGTACCCTCTCTACCTCCTTGTTCTTCTATCTGCATTTTGATGCGGAACTCATCAACAACGTCAACACGTTTGAGCGCTGGGAATTTCCGACGGCATGGGAGCCCTAAAGAACAATGTCGGGGATCATGAACGGTCCATGCGATCTGGTGGAGATCGTGGTCTTGATGGTGGTGGATCCACTTCAAGTAGCAAATCAAGGAGCAGAACGGAATCCTCCAGTCCTTTGTCTTGTCTATGCTTCTGTCCTCATGCGTTTCGAAACTGCTGTAAGAGGGCGACGAAGATGTCATCGACCTACGACCGGGTCGCTTGGCGCATCGGCCATGCCGAAGAAGGAGTGTTTTTGGGTATCCCGTACCCCAGGCAGAAGACAGCGTTCACGGCGTACGTGACCTACCGTTTGTACCGCTCTTGGTTTCGGTGGTTTTTTGGAGTATTATTGCTGGAATCGCTATTGGAAGTGCCGAGCTGGTGCATGTTCCTGCAGCATGAAACGAAAGCGCGGATGGTCTGGGATGATTTTCAGACAGGACCGTTTGTCCAAGAGGAACGGATCTGCTCTGACGATGCGGCGACGGCCGAAACGAATTTCTTGCTGTCGGGAGTGTTTCTCGTGAATCCGATTTGGGCAGCGTTGTACGAAATCTTTGTCGTCCTCTTCATCATCCGAAAGGCCTACTGGCGACGACGCTATTTGAGATTCTTCTTGAACAATCAGACCGGTGCGACTAGTGTCAATGTTAGAGATCGCAAAGAAATCCAATGTGCAACACATGCAGCATCCAAAGCGGCAGGGGAGAAATCTGATGGAGTGACTAGCGCAAATGATGGCTCTTTTCCCTCTGGTGCCGAAGATTGTGATCATGAAGAGGTTAGACTCATCCGCAGAGCCCCTGGCCGGAGAAGATCGCAGCGCGGAGGAGCTGAAAAAGGGGCATCCCCAAGACGGAGTGGCTTGCGCAGGGAGCTGACGTGGCCCTCTCCTGCTGATCATGTTGCGCGGCGAAACTCGCACGCCTCAATCTCAAAAGACAACGACGACGAGGACGACAGTGCTCAAAAACTTGTTTCACGTCAAAAATACACAAAGCGCCACAACTTCCTCGTGAAACACCCACTACGATACGCAGGTGGGTCACGAGCGCAGGATCATAATGACAGCCATCCCGCACCAGGATCACATAATCAAGCTGCAACAGGAGGACCAGGAGCAGACCATCAGTCAAACACAGCAGGACTGACGTACCCGAGAAGCCGGAACAGCTACATCCACACACCTTCTCAGCGGTCGTCTATGCGTTCCTCGCGAAGACTCGTCGATCCGGGAGCGACCGAACGGGTTGCTGTCAGCCAAGCAATACCCTCGAAGTTTATAACAAACGACGAAATCTACCAAACCTTGCTGCACCATGAGTGTCAGATGCATACTTTGGAGTTCATCTGCACCCTGTACCTGCTAATCGAAGCCTGCTTCTTCCTCATCGAGATCGTAACAACACTTAAGATTGGTTTATTTTCCTCGTATCGATTTTACTAGTCATAGATTTGTAGCACTCATGCAACCAATCGTGTTTGCTTTGCCACAGCGATTCATTTGCAGGTCGCATGATTCAACTTTAATAGTATAGAGCATGATTCAACTTTAATAAGATTTTTCGGTGATCTTCGACGACGTTTACTCTGCGTCCGTATCTAAGAATCAAACGATCCTCCCGTATCGCCGCATCCATCTCCTCGCTAGAGCAGGCATAATGCTTTCTAGTCCTACCCTAGCGCGTCTTCTGCCTGCTGTTTGGCGCAGCATCAAGGCGAATCTTCGGACTATGATTGTGATGGTAACCTTCTGCTTCGTCTTTTCCTGGGTGCATCTAGTGCTGGTAACAGCAACGAACAGCTCGCAGATCGGTGACGATAACAGGGTGCTGTTCGGTCAATATGAGGACAACATTTTCAGCGGAGCTTCAGCGTATTGGAGTGCAGGAACAACAGGAAATTATCCTGGAGAAATTCTACGTGAATTCACAAAATATCGATGGACAGGCTTTCTTCATACGTCGGCACAGGTATAGATACATATAGACACATTTTTTTATTGGAAAATTCTAGGTTATGATCATTTCAGTTAATTTATGACTTTTTTTGGAATTTATTCGATTCTTATGAATTTCTGTTATCAACGAACTGCTGAGCAATGGACCCACCGTTTTTCCATTTGAATGGCAGTACGATTCTCATAAGAAAATCCATATAGAACATATTTTCAATAATATTTCAAGATATAAATCTTGATTCCAGATAGTTTTTGAAACGGCTTCACTGAAAACGAATTCAATGAAAATTGAATAAAATCAAAATTTCTGTGAAATTTAGAATTTGAAAATTTGGATTTCACCTCGCCCGTTTCATGAATACTACCCGAGTGACCACATGAGAACTGAAGTTGCTGGTCAACCAAAATAAATTCAAAATGAAGTTTCAATCAATGAATTTCGATTGCATTTTTTTTTCATGATTGTCAGATTTTTCTGTCCACGATCATCATGCAACTTATGCTGGCAACGGTGATGAACGAGTATTCAGACACGATGAAGAAGCAGCACGAGGAGTATACTGCTGGACGTCGAAAGGCATTGGAAGCAGCATTCTGGGAACTTATAAACGACGGTCCGTCATTGTTAGAGAAAGCACAACGAAATCACGACGAAGCTACAGCTTTGGTGCCGCCTAGAGAAACAGAAGAGAACATGCATGAGGCAAATACGCAGCTTGTTGCGTCGCCGTTTTTGTCGCTCACAATGGGCGAGTGCCGTGGACTTTTCGTTACTGATTGCGCAGGCATGTATGGTACAACCCACGGCAGACGAAGCCGGCAACTGGAACTGGTGAGTGCGGTAGGTCGGGATGGCACAGGAGCTGGCGCGGTGGGTCAGGCGGATCACGACCAGGATGGCTTCGCGACTGATGACACATCGGGCGCGCCGTCCAGTATTCATCACTCACGAAACAGCGCGACTCTATCAGATCAGCGCAGCAGCGACATCCCTCCTCTAGCAGCATCACAAAGCACACCTGCACGCCTCACACTACGCCCTGCTGCGGCAAAACTTCAGCGAGCTGTCCAAGCCCGAAAGTCGGATTCTCGTCGCAATTCAACACGCGGCGCCTCACCGGCGTTCAGCTCCTCTTCCGAGGACCAGGGTGGTTGCGGGAAAGGTAGGAGAAGTACCAGACGTTCTGTCAGAAGATCTACCAGACGTTCGATCAGAAGATCCACGACCAGTGGAGCCCCATACTCAGTAGACCACGAAGATGAGGGAAATGATGACGCAGATTCAACTTCATCTTCCTGCACGTACGGGATCGACCTGGAGACTCTGCAGCGTCTTGTTTGTAGCATCAACCGCTTGCCTCACTTTGGCAGCGTCAAACACGAGTACATCGAGCTACTCTTTGCCGTTCTAGACCAGGATGATAGTGGCCTCATCGACGTTGAGGAGTGGTTTCAAATTTGTGAAATTCTGCAAAACAATTTTTGGGTAGCGAAGCGCGATAGCTCCTGTATTCAATGTCTACAGCGCAAAGTGAAGCAAGACCGCGCTTCTGCGCGCTATAGTTCCAGACCAATCAGTACTGGATTAGTTGCAGAAAAAGACGTCAGCGGTGTGGTTATTCCTGAGATGAAGTCTCAAATGCCGCCGTTGGGAGTCAGTGGCCACGGGTTGGTCAATGCCTCAAATATGACGTCATCTCCTCCAGATTTTGCACCGCGAGAGGAGTCCGGAGAGTCCGTTATTCCGCCCATAGGCGACAAGGTTGTTGTAGGAGCGCGACGGGATTTCCCAACAACGCCAGAGTTTGCCTCTACAAACGATGAGAAGGCGCCTCTGCTTCCCGGTGATGCTGCAGCAACGAGTGGAGCAGCTCTTTCATATCATCCAGAGCAGGACGAAGAAGAACAGAAGCCTGGTAATATGAGAAATAACAGGAACTCAAGCGGAGCCATTTTGTCGGTCGGCCGCCCTGTCGATATAGGTGCTCGCAATTCTAGCGGGACATCAGGAGATAGTGGAGCGTTGGGTCTTCCTGCGGAGAAGAGATACGCTCCAAGAAAGACTTGCTGCTACCGATTGTACCAGTTTCTCCGGTATTTGCAGAAGAACTGGGTCCTGAACGGCCGTCTTAGTCGATTTATGTACTTTGTGCTCTTTATTAATGTCTTCATTCTGTTCGTAGAGTTCGTATACGAAAGTCGGATGGCACACTTGGGCACTACGCCGCGCGGTGACCGAGATGCTTCTACTGAAAGAGACGGACAGCAGAACACCGGTGTCCTTATATCGAGCGGCGACGCAGCTGCCGCAAGTGGACCCACAATCACGACGGGTACACCTAGAGTGACGGTAGTAGCCCCTGAGAGGGAGGCCGCTGGAGAAAATCTCGGCGAAGCAGCAGCTCCAGCATCAGCCCAACCACAAGTAGACGGCAACGTTACAACAACAGAGGAAGCAGGTGCCATGGTGCGTACGGTCTCAGCAGGATCGACATCGACCGCCCAGGAGGACGATGACGAAGACTTGATCCGAAGCTCGATTTCGCAACGAGTAGACCTTGTTGAAGGCGCTGTTGGAGTAGGCACTAGCAACACCTCTAGGGATATGTACAGTGCGAGCGGCGCTCGTGAGCGGCACCTCGCTTTCTCCGTAGGGGAACTGTTTTTTTCCTCCGTTTTTCTGCTCGAAGTCGTCATTCGTGTCAGCACAGTGTCGTGGGTTGAATACTGGTACGGAGCGGCAGCAAGCCGGTTTGATTTCGTCACCGCAATCATTCTTTTCGCAAGCTCTCTGACCGATGTGATCTTCTGCTGCATAGCTGCGCCAGATGCTGCTCCGATAGTGAATAATAATCGTGCTGGGCGGGCGGGTGAGCCGGCGGACCCCTCGCATTCGCGACAGCAAGGTGGCGCGACACGTGCTCGAGCGGTTGTTCCTCCGATTGCGATATCATCACTATCCCCTCCACTGGTATCAGGAGAGGGAGCGCCATTGAATACGACACGCACTGCCGCAGAAGTGACTGCCAGAAGCTCCTTGGAAGACCCTGCAGCGCTGCCGCAGCAGACTTTTTTGTCAAGATCCAGGTCTGCCATGCCATGCGATGACACTAATGCATCGCGAGGGAGTATTAATCAGGCTCAGGAAGTTCAACGCGCCTCCGAGGAAGGAGTTGCAGTAGCGTTCGAGGTGGGCACGCTTCGAGCAACACCCGGCGGTGCTAGTGCCCTCAATGTCCGTAGACTTTTTCACCGCAGCGGCAGCGCGGTAAGCAGCATCCTAGCAGCTGTGGAGAATCCCTCCTACTGGCGTTCTTTTGCGCGCTATCTCAATCTGCTGCGATTGCTCAAGCTAGTGCAACTCTTGAAGAAGAGTAGTTCATTCAAAGTGGTTTTCACCGCGGTTGAAGATTTGTATGCAGCCTGCGAGGACGTTGCTGCCCTCATGTTCGTGGCCTTGTACACTTTTGCCGCCGTTGGCGTCTGGGTCTGGGGAGGCACGGAGCTTGGCATGAAAGAGCCCAAGATTCCGGGGTGGAGAAAAACTGTATTTATGTAAGCCTAGCTTGTGTCAGTATCTTGTATTTTTTTCATTTATCGTCCCTTTCCGTTTACTATCTCTTTCCCCCATTTCCCTCGAACGTTGACTATATTGGAGAAAATTCAACTAAGGACTGCAAAAATCCGGACAAAATTCAATCTTCTCGGGCATGATACGAATCCGCAGAACACTCGCCGCCTACTGCGCTCCCTTCTGGAAAACCCTCACCCAATTGCGAGCCAAGAACCTCGGGCGCCCTCCAAATCCCCGCGCCCCTCCAGAATCCCCCAGCATACATTTGCAGGCTGGTGCGGTGGACTCTGGAGGGGCGCGGGGAATCACATGAAACGAAACCAAAAGACAGAAAAACCAAGAGGAAGCAAGTAGCAAAAGCCGCTAAGCGGAGCACTTCCAGGACGAGGAGGCGACAATAGTGACCGTTTTTGTGCAGTTCTTAGTTGACTTAGCGCCATTCTAATCAGCCATCTGCGGAAGCACGGGAGGCACAGCGAGCACGCCACACCATCGAAACTTAACAAAAAGAGGAGGCGCGAGCCCTTTGGAACTCAAGCGGCAACCGGTCCAGCCCTTCTTGAGAAATGCCACGAAATTGAATAAGCCTCTCTATTGTTTGCCGCTTTCCTGCTCGCAAGGCCATTCTTGGAAAAAAATCTGAAGACATCTTTTCACTTTTTTCATCAAAAATGGCCTAGCGAGCAGGAAAGCGGCAAACAATAGAGAGGCTTATTCAATTCTGGCGAAACCCCCGCAAACTTCCCCGCTGAAATACTTCAAAAGAGTGCGAACAACGCCAGCAAACCCCCCCGACAATCTGCGCACAAACGGCGGCGCGCGTGAGTGGTCTGACCATTTGAAGGCGGCAGCGCGTCGCTTCTCTTTGTAACTAATCCCACCCGGCGCGAGAGCCTCGGGGCGCCGGGTGGTCAAAAGTCCAACACTTAACAACATGAAAAGACCCAAGAACGAAGAACCTCGGGCGGAGTGTCTCAAACCTCTCCGATTATGGCGAAAAATTCGACCACAGACAAGTGGAGTTAGAATGGAGAAAATTCAACTAAGGACTGCAAAAATCCGGACAAAATTCAATCTTCTCGGGCATGATACGAATCCGCAGAACACTCGCCGCCTACTGCGCTCCCTTCTGGAAAACCCTCACCCAATTGCGAGCCAAGAACCTCGGGCGCCCTCCAAATCCCCGCGCCCCTCCAGAATCCCCCAGCATACATTTGCAGGCTGGTGCGGTGGACTCTGGAGGGGCGCGGGGAATCACATGAAACGAAACCAAAAGACAGAAAAACCAAGAGGAAGCAAGTAGCAAAAGCCGCTAAGCGGAGCACTTCCAGGACGAGGAGGCGACAATAGTGACCGTTTTTGTGCAGTTCTTAGTTGACTTAGCGCCATTATATGAAGAGTCCTGCTTCACGCGTTGGGCGCTAGTTTGGTGAACCGGTACCCTGGAACGAATTAGTGGGCGCACATAGCGCGAGAGCCGAGCACTTCTGAGAGGCACGCACAGGCTTCGGCCGCCTTTGAAGCGAAGACCTCCAGCGTAGTTGGAGGAACAAGCGGCGCCTAGAATAGACGGATCCTAGCTAAACGTGGCCATTAAATAACTTTTTATTCAGACTATTGCTATTCTCTTGCTTTTTTGTGTTTTTGTTTCCCAGTTAGGCTTGCTTCGCCGTTATATGAGAACTCTGTCCATTTCTCAATCAACACAATTGTCGTGACTACTCATCTAGGTTGCCGACGATGACGAGATGAATAAACGACTTCAGAGCTTTATCCAGTCTGATTATGCTACAGGTGGAATGGCCGTTCTGAATTTCAACGATTTGTTGCTGGCTTCACATAACTGCTATCAAATATGGGTGAACACTCACGATGCTGCCTTAGTCCAAGCGATGGACCTAACATACCCTGGCCCACGTCCGTTGTGCGCCTTCTTGACTTGGTTGAAGCAGCAGCGCGATGAGTGGGTCAAGATCGATGGCTTACAATGGCTGCCAAAAGTGCCGGTAACCAGCATCGGCTACGGGCTTTTGTATCAAGCGATATTCTTCTTCTTATGGCACGTAGGTGTGGATTGAAAAAATCAAGTCGATCTCCAAAAAGAGTAAGTACGTAGTTGCTGATAGATCATGAAGATGAACGATGATGTTGATGCAAGGATAGTTTATTTCGAAGAACATCACTTGACACCTGGGTACTGGTATTTTGTTGTTTCACCAATAAGCAAAACTATATTTTTAACCAAGGCCAGCAATGGCAATGTAGATGTACATTTCTGGAATACGAACACCGCTCACCTTCTTTTCATCTTAAATAGACTCTGTGCTCTTCGTAGATTCTACCAGGCTTTGCGCTCTTCCTAGATTCTAGGCCTAGCGCTCTTCCTTCTAACCTGTGTTTTCACAACGGTTGTCGGCAATATCTTTGTTGTGTGGTTGATTCAGGTGGTTGGCTGCGTTGAGGCGGAACAGGCTGAAAATGAGAAGGAAGAATTGCAGAACAGCATGAATCATTTGAACGTAGTTGGCGGGCCTTCTTCTTCCTCAGTAGCTGATGAGAGTGACCTTGAACGCGATTTTTTCGAAGAGGAGGATGACGAGGTTGGCGGCGACGCTGAATGCGGTGAGGATGGAGAACATGGCCTACCCCTCCACCAAAAGCGAGAAAGCAATGTGAGCCGAAATGGTCTTGGTTACAATCAGGGTGAATCCGGTCACGGTGATTGGCTCGGATTCCGAGATGCTGGTGGACGAGATGAGGGCAATGGCCACAGACCTGCAGGCAACGAAACAGCGGAAACAGATAGTACAACAACCCGGACAGCAGTGTCCTTGTTGCAGGCTATTAAAGCCAAAACTGCAGCAACCGTGATTCGGAGGCGGGAGACCTCTTCCAGCGCAACTCCTACAGCAGCTGCGCAAGAAGATGTAAACACTGGGACGCCCGCAGACGTTGACGATGTACTCCTTAAAGTTACTCCAGAGATGTTGGAAGAGCAGAATATTGCGGCGGATGTCGACTGGGATCTAAACACAACAACGAACGACCAAGAGGACGATGTAGACCGCGAGCAGAATGAAAACGACGGCGCAGCAGGCGCGCCCGAAAACACAACTTCTAACCTGATGTTGATACCGCCAGCTGGTGCGACCGCGATCTCAGGTGCTGCTGCAACTGTTATTGAGTCTGCGTCTTCCGAAGCTCCTCCACAAGCAGCAACGACGACCTCAAACAGAAGGCCGAATATGCAAAGGTCGCCAGGCACTGGAGCTATTGACATACAGCCTTTAGCAAGTGAAATCCAACAGCAAAATACCAGGGGACAGGGTGGAGAAGAACAGAGTAGAAATTCCAAGAAAATGAACAAGCTTCGCTCTGCGGCGCGTCGTGTAGGCGCTATGTCTTCAATCACAAATACGAAATCAACTGCGAGCCTCATTCGATCTTCTCGCTATGGCGACCGCAATTCTTCGAAAAAGAGTAATAGCTTCCCAATGCGGCCGTCGACAACAGCAAAAGCGCTACACGGAGCATCCGATCGGGACCTTTTGTCGGGTACTAACGGTAATAAAGAGCAGCTGACGTCCTCCCTCCAGAACACGCCATCCTCGAGTGCAGCTCTGCGAGGACCACCAGCAAAAGCAATATCGAAAGCTCACGTTTTTCGGCCCTCAGGAAATGCGACACAGCATGAGGGCTTGCGAAGTTTGGGCGAGCGACTGGAACGCGAAGGCCTAATCCTCCGCGCCCGCGAGGGAAATAGAAGCTTGCAGGACAGGTTGCGACGGAAATGCTTGGGGTCTGGGTAATTCCAGAAATGAAGATCAAGATGTAAATAGAAAAGGGCAGAAGAACAAGCACTACAATTAGCGACATCCCGATTTCTTTCAACATCCCGGTGCCCTTTATTAACCCCGGACGTCACAACATATATAACGACCTGATTTATTACCACCACTCCAGTTCAACAGAAGTTCATGGTAAGAACAAGAAGAAATCAAATGTTTGTTTTCCCCGCAATATGTTTTTTTCCCTCTCGGTATCGGTTGCGGAAGTCTGCTTCAGACCGGAGGCATCCTTGCAGGGGGCGCTTATGAGGATGTCCCGGGCCCCCTTCCGCTCGGTAAGTGAGGATCTTTCTTCCTCTTCCTTTTTTTATCTCTCTGTTTTTTTGAGTGACCCCGTGTGAACCCTTACCCATGCGACTGTGTCTGCTGAATGTTAAGGTCGTAGTGATTTGACTAGCAGAGTAGGTACTATCGTACAGTTGAAACTGTACAAAGGATAGTGCAATGTGATCATACATTTAGTAAGTGTCAGGTACTTCTTTCTATATTTCTCGGCTCTTATCTCACGCTTACCAGTTATTACCACCACTATATTTCTATTACATCCATTTCGATTTCGTAATCTGGTCATGAATCAAAACCTCTAAGATAAGACAATACATAGCGGTAAGATAGCCATACTCGTCAATATCATGCGTGTGTAGAATCTAAATGAAAATACATCTCCCCATATTATAAAATATATTATAGCATAGCCATAAAGTTCTTGATATTTTTCATACTTTCTCGAGAAGGTGGTCATCCTCTTGTATTCTTCAGAAAGGTGCCTGACCCGTGCTCGGAGCACGCTCCTGTACCTGATGGTATTCGTATTATTGCCGCTTGGAAGACGTCCTCGTGAACAAATATTAATGAGAAATAGCAGTAACTGTCGTCAGAATTCGAATCAATACATGAAGTCACTGTTTTTGAAGCTTCATCACAATTGAAATCGTGGCCCGATCGATTGAATGAACAAAGCGTGTTTGAGCAGGGGTGGTAGATGTAGAATCCTCTCGACGGTCCTGAATGTTAAGGTTCGCTAGGACAGGGTCTTGGACTATCCTGACGACGAAAAAGAGAAAATGATCGCTTTAAAGAAAATGGGACAGCGTAGTTGATGCTGATGTACCATGTAAGTATCCGGGTAATGAAATCTAGTTGCTGGTGGTGCGACTGACGACTGGTCTGCCTCCAGATTGATGGAGCTGTACACTCATGATCATGAAATGAAATATCTTGTTCAACATCAACAAGTATAGAAGATACGGATTTAGCTTCGTACAACTGGTTCTCGGCCGGTAGACACAGCAGCCCACGAAAAGCTTGCTCCGTGTTTGAGTTTCTTTACAGAAACTGAATCCAAAATGCAAAGGTTCCTCCTTCTTCGCTGCGGAGGGTGAGCCCATTATCCTTGTTCTTGACATGGCGACGTTCTTAGTACTCATGAATGCTGCGTCTTCGAGCTTCAGCTTTTCGAAATATTCAAGCGGAATCAACCATGAATGGCGCGTCATTCCAACACTCAACAGACACATCATTCGTTGATGTTGCAAAACTACTATTTGCATTTTATTGTGGTTTGAGTTTACGTGCTTCCACGACTACCAGCTGTACTTATGCAACATGGATTTTTGGTGAAGCCTATGCCTATGCATGCAGTTGCTAAACACATCAAGAGTGTAGCTCTCGGAATAAGAGTGTCCTGAAACAATTCTTTGACTTCTTTGTCTACATTATACTTATTTTCTTCTTGTTTTAAGCCCCTGCCCAAGATGATGGACAGTTACGTGAATCGCGTAGCCACAGTGTTTTACACTTGGCTCACTGCATTTGGCTTAGCCGCTTGCTTTTGCCACTGCTCTTCCTACGTCTTCAGTCCGGTGGTTGACGTGCAAATCGCGAATGTTTGGGTCCAGGATTTCACCTACAACAACTACCTAGGCCAGGAACAGGCTTCACTCGCCTTTGATATGGATGCAGATTTGACGAACGAGTTCAACTGGAATTTATGGTGGCACTGATTTTCGAGAACCACGAAGGAAAGGGAATGTCCTCGTGCCACCACCTAAGAGTTGTAAGAAGGGCTTTATAGATGAGGGAAATAACGACAAGAACATTCCTTTGTTGACATGATTGTCATAATTCTCACTCAGTGGCCTCACTCATGAAACTTGAAGCAGCTCTTCGTGTACCTCGTTGTCACCTACGAGAGCGAATCAAACCAGATGAACGAGGTGATCATTTGGGACGATATCATTCGCGACAAGGACAGCGCGACGCTCTTATGATGGTAGCCTGTAGTAGAAGTAGCTTGTGAAGTAGAAGAAGTAGGTCTTCGTTGTGATGAATGTGATTACAGTTACAAGTAGTACAAGTCCGCCTTCGCTGAAAGATCATAGGATCATTGATAGCGAATAATACTAATATTTTTGTTGAATCTCAACTACCTATCGTGATCATCGTCATGTGTATAGGTCCATTGATTCCCGACCTTAGTTTTTCATTGAGGCATCCCTTTTCATATCCCAAGTTTCGCAAGGAGTCTGCGAAATATCCCTTGCGTGACCAGCACCGCGACTTGAAGGGCACGAAAGCGTCTCTGGTTTTGCGATACCGCAGAATGCCGATTATCGGAGTCATGGGCGAGGTAGAAAACGAGCAATCACGCAGGGCATTCAAGATGCCCGAGCGTTACTTCAGAAGTCAGAAACCGGTGAAAAGTCATCACGAGAAGCCCGACGCCTACAGGATGGAATATGTGTCGTAGATCGATTTCATCCTTGAAGAACAAGATTCCCTTCGACGTTTTTTCCTAGAAGATGTTGAAATTAGAAAACCATCAGACACAAAAACATGAAATTCTCTAGCATCTTTATCATGCACATGCAGGAAGGAAATATTGAAGTTTCGTCGTAATGCTTGATCTTCATAGGGCCACAACATCGTGTATGACCATGATACCAGCAGGAACGATGGCAACACTTTCTTCCATGCAACCCCCTCCTCCTCCTTTTGAACACTGACTCACCCGATTCATAACCCTAAACACTATTTGTTTGCGATCATACCTTCTCCCACATATCTATGTCGACATTGCAGTGGAGCTAAATAAGCGGCAAAATTTGTTGTGCTGAGGGTTGAGAGGGTCGAACTCGAAGTGTAGCTACCAATCCTGCCTATTTGATGTGTTTTAAATTGGCACTGACGAGGGCTAACAAGAAGGACAAAGCTTGATGTTGGCTGAGAGAGTTTACGTGGGTTGCAAGGCGACCGGAGGCACGGATCTACTAGAGGACGGAGAGAGTTCATTATCGAATCGGTGCCAGTTTTCTTTACAGGCACCTCCTGTGAACAAAGTCGGTCAAAAGAAATGGCTACAGTATTCGAAAGAATTATACTGCCAACTCGGCATGCGCGGCCGGCGTGTGGTCGGAGGCGCTCTCGGAAAGATGACGGAGACGAGCTTGCTGCACGCCAATCAGCGATCGCTTCCCCTGCTGTTCGTTCGTGTTGTGTGGTACACCCTGTTCGGTCTGTTGTTGGGCGTGGCGGGCGCGGCTGCTGCTCAGACGCAACTGCCGAGTCACCTGGAATGGATTCCGCTTCTCGAGACGACTCGCGATCGCGACTTCGCCGCTCTTGCACGCGGAAAAGGCAGCGACATCGTCTTCTCAGATCCGGTTGTCGGGCCGCTTTTTCAAGTGAATAAAGGACAAAGAGACCCAGCAGCATCCATGACAAGAAGGAAGAAACAACGCGTGGTCTTGACGCTGACGACGATTGCAGCTCGATTGCCTAGGATTCATCCCGTTATCCGAAGCCTCTTTGCACAGAGTGTTGAATGCGATGTCATGTATCTCGTCGTGCCCAAACGGTACTACATGAGGAAGAAAAAGAAGGATATAGCAGCAAGAGCAGGTCTCAAAGATGAAAAAGACGAGATGGACGTCGATTTTGTGGCCCTGCCGAAAAGTATCAACGACTTGGTGGAAGAATTTGCTCCTCGGTTACAGATCGTGCGGCCAGAGGCCGACCATGTTGGTCCTCTGATGAATTTGTGGCCGCTTCTTCCTCTCGAAACGGATCCAGGCACATTCATCATTACTGCCAATGACGATCATCTTCAACCAGTGAATTTCATTCGCGACTTACTCCTGTCAGCGATAGCCAACCCTGGTCGCGCAGTATGCTATCATGGATGGATGTCTGTCGTCGATAGAGAGAAGATTTCTAGTGCGGCGTCCTCGAGTGGAGGTGTATCGGAGATTATGGCGGGAGCAGCTGCAGGAGAAGACAACCAGAAGGAGGGGGAACGGCCAGATTATCTGCAGCAACGCATAGGCAACACCTTTGGCGTTGCTCAGTCCTTGAACTACAATTTGTCGGCAACCGATGCAAGCACACTTTCACAATACGTCCTAGGCGACCCAACGTTGAATCTCACCGCCGGCACCCGTTGGCGCACAGCCGGTGCAGCGGAGAAATGGAATCCTGTGCGGGATACGCCGGCGTACTTGCAAAGCGAATGGACGCCTTTGATACATAGAGAAGTGCAAGATGCTACGAAAATGAATAACGAGCAGGAAAAGCAAAAGGAAACTGGTGGACGACCTAGACCTCCTAGCGGTGGCCATTTCTACGAAACAGGTCCTGTTGGTGCCAATTACCTTGGATGCGTCTGGCAACGTGGTTTTTTTGACCATGAAAGTTTCTACCGCTTGTTAGACCGACACGACAAAGTCAGCCTCAAAGAGGGCGCTGTTGTTCCGAAGCCTGGTGACATTTCCTACGATTACAAACAGTCTCCTAACGGAAACGATGAGTCTGATCTAAAATATTCAGATTGCCGTTTTGTTGATGATGTATGGCGTGCTGCGCTTTTGGCTTTACGCGGAATCCGGTTCCTGTTTTTGAACCGTCTGCCATCTGGCGGATTGTCGGAAACGGCGTTAGCGAATCCTGCAGATCGCTTGGTTGTTGATCAGAAGACCAACCCACTAGCAGAAGTCGCGGCTTTAGGCAAGGAGAATGGTAAACATTCAAGCGCCAACATGCGCGCTGGCTGTAATCGGCAGCTTCTGGATTCTGATTTCTTCGGCTCCGATCTTTGGAAGCTGCGCCGGCGGAGGGTGTTGGTAGTGGCCGTGAGTCCTCAAGGTGCGATACCCACTACCAAAAATTCGGCGGAAGTAACAACTAGAACTAGAAGTGCCTCGTCGATGGACCATGATAACCTTACTTTAGAAATTCGCTCAGTAGATTCGGAAGATGATACAGGCTTGCCTGATTGTAGCGCATCCCTCATCCAAACCGTTGCTTCTTCTGTGGCGGAAAATAAAGGAGCAGGTCACGATGAGGATGATATGAGAAGTTCTGTTGTGGGGTATGATCGAGTGTACTACGTGGGCTGCAGCACCATCAGTGACGCAAGAATGCTACAGGATCAAGCACCTCTGGAACCAGGGGAATCCGAAAGCTTAGTCGACATGTCTACATCTTCGGTCTCTAGCGGACCTCCAACTTTTCCTTACACTTTGCGTAGGTACGAAGACGTCGCACTGTGGGAGGGAGAAGCGGACACAGAAGTCTGCGTTTACAACGTTCAGGAGGGGAAGAGCACTCGGGATATTGAAGTAGAGCAACCCCTGCAGCTTCAAGATGGAGATGCTCTCCCGCTCGGCATCAATCATGCCAAGTGCCATCACAAACTTCTTGTTGGTGACATGTGGGCGCAGCGAGAAGCTGCAGAAGCTAGGAGAATGCTTGAGAACAGCGGAAAAGCGAAGTCGATAAAGGCTCGAACTTGGCGCCTACTGCGTCTGACCAGTTTGCTACGACGCCTTCCGGGTCTGTACAGGCTAGTGCCAGCCTTGATGAACTCAAAAGATTTAGCGTACTAGAATTCTCAGGACGCAGCTGCACCTGTGTTTACCTCGCAACGACCAACTCCAGCGCAAAGAGAATTGACATTGCTATAAAGCCAAAAGATCTTCCAGCTCTGCAGCAATGTGTGTTTTCGCACGCTTTGAAAGACGAAAGAGTTTCTCTGCGCGTACATGCTTATTCTGTACTTGAGTCAGTCATTCTGCTTTCGAGAGAAATCCGACTCTGTTTCCCTTCCAGTGCTTCCGAGAGATGTACGTAGACAGACGAACGAAAATTAGATCTTGTGTGAACGTGCTCGGTTATGTGATAGACGAATGCCATGTGGTCGCTGTATCTGTGAGAAAGCAGTATCTGTCGAGCGGCATGAAAAAATCAAAATGTGTGGTCTCAGGCTGAGAAAAAAGAGTTACCTGTCTAGAGGATATGGATCTGTCTCAGTGACATTGATGTTGATCTGTCAGCGAGCAGAGGTCTATATTGAACAGAGGCGCGATCTGTGTTGCTCGAGCGAATATTATCAGATGTTAAAACTGATTGTCTTTCGCTCCTTGCCACGCACTTTCAGCAGGATGATTTTCCTAAATAATTGATGATATCGATGACATCCCATTCCCTATTTGTCACTCTCAATTTGTAACTTTTTTCTGTTTGACTCTTGTAACTACCATAGTGATAGTTGTCGAGTAGCAACCACCTCTTTCTCTACTACTTATTCCTTTTTATAACCCTACAGTGCCTTATTTCCGTCCAAAACCAATTCCACGGATTATCCAATAATCTTTTTATCTGCATCAACTACGCGATCCTACGCAATCCTTCAACGTGATATCTTACATACTCACTGTTTCGACGCAATGCGTGCTGCTTTAGGTGGTGGAGCCGCGCGACCTGGCTCTTCCGGAGATGGTTCTGCGACAGGTTCACAGTCTCTTCCCAGACTGAAGATGAGCCTCTCAAAAAATACGGATTCCTCTGCAGGTGGAGGTGGATCGGCAGGAAAAGTCGGTGGAGGAAAGGGATTCGCAACAGGACCCGCAATGAGCACTAAGCCCAATAAGCCTTCATATATTGTTTCGGGTACCCTAAAAGATTCGAAGCCGACGGATGACTTCCAGAATCAGGATATTGGCTCTAGCTATCGCGGCAGTGTCCAGTTCCGAAGCGACCTGTTCGCCAAACAGTGGAACAAAACCCAGGCCTTGTCTCAGCGACCAGCTGACAAGTACCACTCAACTCTGTCTGTCGACAACATGGATACCGTCTCGAACGCCATCGTGTACGAAAAGGATCGGGCACTGTGGAAGGAGAAAGTTCTACGAGATGAGCTACCAGTGAATCCAGCTGAAGCAACTGATGCTAAGTACTCATAATTGTTCGAAAAATGTTGATTGCTTGAGTAAGGAAATTAGATCTAATCCATCTATATAGTTCAACCAACACTTCCCAGTCTACCCGGTAGGTCCGATGACGATGCAACATCTTCTACCTCGTCCATGATCAGGTACAAGCAAGACTTGGACGTCCGACTAGAGGCAGAAGCTGCTAGAAAAAGCATGATGGCCCGTGCAAAATGGAATCAATCAAAGAAGATCAGGGAGATGATGGGCATGTTTGGAATGATGGCTGACCTAGGAGGCCTGGATAAAAGCGAGTTTTGTTATGAATTAATTCAAAGTCTTCGTCTTGTTTCTAGTATGTGTATGCACTACTATTTTGTAGAAGTAGCCATTATAGGAGGATAAAGAAAAGCTTCTCAAAAGCTCCATATTGGAATGCGAAACGAAGAAAATGCTTTTGGGTGTTGCAATGTACTAGGTGTAGCAGCATCATTTCTAATGCTTGCGAGCTCCACCACCGAAGGGCGCAAAGAACGATAAGAAGGGCAACAAGCGATCCATGTTTCCAACGGGAGGTGACACTGGCGAAAAAGAGGACGAGGAAGAGGAGAAAACCAAGTGGCATGAGCGCTCACCTTATGCCCGTAAGGGTGACGTCTTCCCGATGGCGCAGGATGTCCCGCCTCTCATGTGTCCGGAAGGAAGTGCGCCCAGACCGGACGACATCATCTACAATAAGAACGCGAAGCTGCACAAAGAAAAGACCTGTGTGGTGCCGAAACTGATGGGTACCATGCTTGTAATCCTGTTGCATGAGGCCATACGCATGTAGGTCTGCGCCAATCTACACCTACATCAGTTTTTCTTTCTTTTTCACCACTCAAGCTACCCTATGACAAACATATCCGTACCCGACGTTCCTTACCTTCTTTCAACATCACTCCTTCAGAACCGTATGATCAACACATTCGTCCGGGAACGCGAGAGCAGAGTCAGGCTGGCCACTCATTTTTGGTACGACACCCATTAAAGCGCCCTCCTGCACTGAGTGCAAAAGAAGCATGCGAACTGCTAGAGGAAATGGGGGCCGCCAGGCAGATCGTTTGTCATTTTGATTATGGCTCTCGGGATTTTAGCATATTCGCTATCCTCTTCGGTTGCTTTTTGGTGGATGAGGAATTGCTACAGAAGAAAGAAGTACTAAACTTTTAGGTGTACCTAGAGCTGATTAGGGCATGGCCTTCTATTGCTACAAAAACTCGTACTCGAATATGTAAGACACAATAACAAGATGGAAAAAGCAAAAGAATTTTCCGAAAATGTAGATGCAATTCCTCGACGTCTGCTTTATGGGCGTTTTAATATTGCGTTTCACGTCGACGTCGTTCTTGGTAATCTTCGTACAACTTCTAATCTCGGGATGCGCATTTACAAGACGTTCTCGCTGCTTTGGAGCAGATGCATGCCGACCAGCGTACGCAGCAGCAGGGATGCGATGCTATGGACCGTCTGTTGAAGATGATCATGACTGACCGACCTGAATGGCGACAGAAGATGGCGGTGTTGACGAAGAGCCAAATGCTGCGACGAAAAATCTTGGACGTGCTGCCGCCAGGTGGGAGACAGGTTGGATCTGCTATGCTGGGAGCCACGCATCCGTGGCGCAGCGCGATCAAGAAGCGCGATGGAAAGATTTGGCGTGCGAATGACGAAAACACTTGGCCGCACTACGCGTTGGCGCAGGGACTGTAATATTCTATTTTCAACCTTTTACTTAAACTTAATCAAGTCATGATCTTACATTCTTAATCTTATCTATGTCTTTGATTTTCATCCTGATACTAGAAGTGCGTAGTCTGCTCGGGTCTATCACAGATTTTTTTAGTCTCCTCAACATGAACATCGTTCCTGCTTCCCTATGTTCCTCATGACTTCTTCTACCACCACCTCGCTTCTCCACCAGGCTTGCGTCGGACCACAACTGGCCCAAGGTTGACCCCGTGACCGGCACTTTGTCTCGCAAATTCGATGATGATAAGACGAGACTGCCAGCACCAGTGGAAATGATGAAGCAACATCCGAAGCTGGATAATTGCCCAAGCTACTCCTTCGGAAAGGAGAAGAGACGTGTCATTGCTGATCCAATCCACGACATTTGGACCGAAGTTTACTGCCCACAAACCAAGAACTCAACACCAGGACCCGGAGACTACAGCGAGGCAAAGGGCATTTGCAAGGTCAGGAAAATAATATTGATACTACAATTAGAAAGCAGAATTTTGCTGAGTGTTGTTCGAGAGATCTTTTAGGATGCTTTGGCTGTTATTTCTCTACGAAAATCACTATCACCATCACGTCTACTTGATGGTGTCTACTCCATCTTTATGATGAATTCTTCTATGCGTATGCAACCAATACAGGTTCCGTGGATGCTGAACGAGCGCGTTGTGCTTGGAAGCAACGAGAAGTATGGCTGCCAGGGCATGCTGAGCGACGACATTACGCGTTTGGGCCAGCACGCTTGTAGTCCTGTCTACTCCTTCCCGCAGAAGTCGCAGTACCGCAGCGTCGCACAAGGTGTGCACATGGTCCAGAGCGCCGCTAAGAGCGATGGCGGCAACCTGTCTCCGGGATTGGCCTACGAGGCCTACGGTTCGTTCCGCGTGAAGGAAAGCGCGCGCGAGGACAACCGACCGGCGCGCTGTCAGTCCTTCAATATCGTTGATAAGGCCATTGGAAAGGGCAAGAAATACGAAGTCGGAGGCAGACCGTATAGATAGTTTTTTCAGTAGTACTTGTGCTAGAGATAACTACACAATTTCGTCGACTCCGTGAAGATCGTGGCTCAGCCTACGGCAGTTGGTACAAGCAAAAACATTCACCATCTTTTTGGTTTGATAAACATTGGTGTATGTAGGTGTAGGTTCTAAACATCAGCATAATATTGAAATAACAACGAGCAGTCGCAGAGAAAAACAGAACGATAATTCATGATACACAACATTCTTAGCTAACTATTCCTTCAGATGAAATGTCTTCAAATCTATATTGGACCACGGGAGTGTGGTGCGTAAACATTTCACGGGGTAGCATATTGACGACTTATTATTTCAGCATATTCATACCATTTTTATTGATAATTTGCAAGATATACAATAATCAAAATGAATTTGAAGATAACAAAAGCATACAAAGAACAAGACATAGTGATCAGTGGGTGTTTTCGTAGAAAAAATAGCACTAGAGTTTGAATTAGAATTACGTAGCTGTGATAACAGGGTGGTTTTCGTTATGTCATAAACCTACAGTTATAGCAATAGCATAAACATGACAACGTGAGATTCCAGAAAATCGAACCGATAGATACTACAGATGTGACATTTAAGCGAGATCCGGTAACGGGACGTTGTTGAGAACGTGGAATGTCAAACAGGTTTGTTCATCATCGAGCTGTAAAATGATTTGGAAAGCTGAAGTTATAATCTGGGATCGCGGTGGCGGTGGTCTGTCAACATCTGTCTACACAACTTCTTCAAAAGGAATACTGGCCGGTTCTTCGGTGCTTGTGACATCAATTATGAATTCGGTATGGCCAAGCAACGAGACGTTCTATCACGGGCCAAGTCGGTCTTTGGATCTGTCAAAGTAAAAAAAACTCGGCTCTTAAGATGCACGTTTCATCTAAGTACGTACCCCTACTCACGCAGACTAGTAACCTAGTACTAGTAGTTCTTGTTCTAGTACAAGGACCTGGCTAGTAGTTTTGGTGTCTTTCCCGCAATCGCCGCTATTTGTCAATGTTTCGAGTTAATGTCGTCCAACTGCACATCAAAGTAGTCGACGGTGTTGATTTAATAGCATGAACTCACTTATCGCTCCGGCCTTAATTCATTTTTAAAATTGGCTGTCTCTATATCTCCATAGAGACGGTTTAGGTCCAGTGACGCTCAAGGCCTCGACAGGGGGAGGCTGGGTGGCTCCCCTCCCCGCGCCGGCTTCTTACTGTTTACTTAGTTACTAACAAGGAGCTTGTTTCCAGGTCTTGCTCTTGGCTCGGGTTCTCAGCCTTACGCTCCCTCCCCTTTCCTTTTTTAAGTCTTTTCTTTTTCTTAGTTAATTGACTTACGGCAAAGACTCCACTCCCCTCTTGTTTGTCATCTCGTCCTTAAGATGCCTCGTCCATCGATTCTTCATTCTTACTAATACACTTGCTAATAGCCCATTGTGGTTTCTTTTACGACTAGACGTAGACCGGCGAAGGACTTATACAAAATTATCCGCCGATCAAGAACAAAACCTTTGGACGACAACGATTCTCCAAGTGCGTCCATCATGTCTAAGCCGAAAATGCGGAAAAGCGCTTGCACAGCGGCACGAGCGAATGTGCCTGGTGTGTTGCTTCATCTTGCCGTTGGCGATTTTACCGTGGCTTTCGGCGTCAGGAAGTCCTCATCTGCGTCGACTGCAGAGGAATACCGCGACCATGCGCAGGGCGGAGAAACGGCGCCGGAGCAGACACAAGAAACGACTCTGGATCTGGCGCGTGGTCTTGATGGTGATGCTGATTTTTCAAATGAAAACGCTAAAATGACTGCCTTTGACATTATTACTACTAGCAATGACTCTGCTGACAACGGTCGCGACGACGTAGCCGCTGGTGCCTCGACAAGTTGGTGGCAAGAACTGTGGACCACCCAAGTGATGTCAATGCTGGATCTTGGTTTGTCCGCGAGTGCAGTACTAGAAGGAGAAGCTGTAACAAGTACTACGACAAGTTCAACGATAAGGACAGAAGATGCAGATGCAAAGAGAACATCAATGCCTGACAACTTCGATTTGCTGCAGCGTCGTAATACCCCAGGCGTTTCTTTTCTAGCACCAAAAGGAAGAGGAGCAGCAGAAGACGAGGATGTTAAAGATAACCGCGTCCAACGGGGGGAGATGAATTACTTGCCCGACGACGACGTGGCCGAGAAGACTTCAGGACCCAATGTAACCTCATTTTTGGGACGAAAATCATCTGCTGCACTTTACATCAAAGGTAATCGTCTCAAGGTTGCACAACCAGAAGCAGAAGCTGAGAATAATGAAATTTTTGATGAACATGAAGATCATCAAGAATATATCTTCAGCATATCCGATTCCGACCCCGACGCAGACCAGCAGGAGAGTACTTTTGTTGAGGTCCTCTCTTCTGTGTCCTCACTCGGGGAAACGTGGCGAAGCGAAGATGGGCTGGCAATGAAGCTGCCAAGTGTTTGCCAGGGGTCGCTGCACAATCGATTCAGACAAGACTTGCTGGAAAAGGGAGCATACGGTAAGGATACATCGAAGAAGTTATGGACGAAGAATCCAATCATCAAAATTAATAAATTCGTTAATGTTCGTTCATCTTCTACTTCTAGAACAGAATTAATGTGGTGGTTGTACAACTTTCATTGCGTATCCTTATGCGATCTACTTCTACTTGGTCTTCTTGTTTTTTTTTGTTTCTAATTTCCGGCCGCACTGGGATAGTTCAGGCACTGCGGTCCAAGATTGAGGTGCGCAAGCTCAGCGATTACGTCACTCCTCAAGCAAAACAAGACGAAGACCAAGCACCCACGGCGAGAAAAAGGAGGGGGATGAACTATTTTTACGGCTACGCTTTTTTTTTGTTTAGTAAGAATTTCAGTTTACCCTACAACTGTATCTGTAGATGTAGTTATTATTATTGATGTGACTACCTAGGACTAGTATCGCATGTTTTTCACAACTCCTAGTGCACGTCCAACTGGAGCTGTCCCTCCTCTTTGCTCTTCTAACGTGATGATCTATTGCACGACGCGTGTTTGGATGCCGCCATCGATCGAGAGCATTATTTCCCTATCAGTTTGTCTGAACAGGTGTCCGACATGGGTCTCTTTCTCGATGATCCGGACTACAGGGCGAAAGGCGGTCTGGGTGTGAAGAGCCACAAGATTGACACACCTCACGCCGCTGATGCCTGGGTGTGGATCAAAGCCTGGCTATATGCTAGCGCGCGTTGCAGATTTCCGACGTTCGCTTTTCGCCAGGACAAACATGGAAAAAAACAGCTCAGCGCGATGGAAAAAGCCAGGCGGCCGTTGGAGGCAACTTATCTTTAAGGCTAGGGTGCTTGTTCAACGACTAACTATGAAACATGAGCACTACTTATGTTGTGCTGGAACTTGTCACGATTCATCAAGACCTTCGGACCCACACTGACTCACTTCTTCTGATTCCAAGGTCCTCAGCACAAGAACGATTATCATAATCATGGCAGAAAAAATGTTGTCTGCAACAACTGTTGTATCTTCCTTGTCTAATTCCTTATTGACCGCTATCTGCTTCGTAAAGGAGTGCTTGTGGCGATGACAGCTTTGAATGACGTGGGAATCTTCGTGGAGCTTGTGAATACTGCCGCAGCTGATGCGATCTCTATACACCGTCCAGCTTATGCAGTTTCTGCTGCTTCAGGAACAGATACGGAAGGTAGATCAGTTCTGGATCCTCCAGCACCACCGCCTACTGCAGCTGATCCGGGATATGGAAGTGATTCTTCAGGATCATCACGGATTCAAGCAAAGACAAGTGGAAGAATTTCAGAGGAGGGGTCAAGAAGTGATCCTGCTCATGCAGCTGGAGGTGCAGCTGATGGTGAACAGGATGGACCTGATGGCACAGCTGCGAGTGGGAAAGCTGGGCAACACGTCGAAGCACAGATACAAGAACAAAGAGGAGAAAAAGCTCGCGGGGGTGCATGTGGAGGAGGCGCGTGCTCATTCGTGGAAGAATCATCGTCTTCTTCAGCTGCAAACCTTGCAGCGGAATTCGAAGTTGAGAATGCAGGAGGTCTCGTTTTTTTCTCGGACGAAGAAGCTTCTACCGCTGCGAAGAAAGTGGACGATATCGAGAGTAGGACTTTTCCCCACCGGACGTCTTCTTTCGCGCAACAACGAAATAGCCCTGGTAAGCAGAGCCTTGACGCGGAGATACTTGTTGCCGAATCCGAGTTCGCCAGCTTTATGCTCTGGACTAGCTTTTTTCTCTTTTCATCTCTCCCTTTCCGATGGAACTCTCTGTGGTAAGGTTTCCCCGGCTAGGAAACAGCGACAACGTGGTCGTGTGCAAAGTTGATGTTAGAAATGTTTATTGGACGAGGCAGGATGATGATTTTGTTATTATTTATTTAAAACGACAACGTGCAACCCCAACCGCAAAGTGACAAAGATGAACACTCTAATAGTTATCCATCGCTTTCACGTTTGGAGCCGCACGCTACGGATGTGCCAAACGCACTACGCAACGTTTTTCGTCTACACGCAAAAAGTGATCTCGAGGATGATGACGGCAGCACCACGTCGGCTTTGGCTACACAAGGGGCCGCGAAAATCGACCAGCAGGAAGATGAAGACTTAAGCAAACACGCCAAACGCGAAGGCGACACATTGTTGTCAGCCTCTCTGCTTATGCAGCATTGCAGCAGAGGTGAAAGTATGATTGGTTTTTTCCTGCACGATCCGCATCATAGCCAACAGGAGACACAAGGCAGCACGAATGTCAATCCCGAAAATGCGAATCAGCGTGTGGCTGAGTTTGTTGGGAATGTGGTGAAACTGGTAACTGACGCGGTCCCAGATACTAGCGGCGCAGCATTAAGGCTCCTCGTTTGCGTATCATCATCTTGATGTTGAGTGTTTTCATTCCCGCACGCGCACTTTAAATTACCATCATTTCATGGTGATTGTGTCTGCAACACTAGTCATGGATAGTTTCATATCAGCAAAAACTTATTTTTGACCTTTCATGATCTACAATTGCGGAACAAGAAGACGAAGAGCGCCAGCAAGGAGATGAACAATCCGGCGCAGTGTTAGTGAAGTCGCTCGTCGATCTCTGGAAGCCGTTTCAAGCCGAACTCAAAGACGCTCGTGAACTGAGATTGACACTTATCGGGCCCGATGATGGACGTACGTTCTACTCTAGGCTTAGTTTACTTGTTCAATTTCATAGATGGGAACTCACTTTCATCGGACAAAATTCGATTCAGACAAAGCAACGAGGACTGGTTCTATGTGCAATATGACACAAGTAAACTATCACAAACTGAAATTACCACTTCTTGAGCTGTAGATATATCGCATTTCAAGTTTCTATTTCCTTGTTAGGTGGAAAGCGCCAGACTACGGGAATGGACGTCCCGGAGCACAAATATCTCGCAAAAGTTGCATATTTGTCGCGCGCTTTCGGAGTACCATTTGGAATGTTAGCTCCTGCTGGGGGTGCGAGCAATTTGCGGGATGCAGAATACCGCCGAAGAGCAGTGGAGGACACCGTGACTAGAATAGAGCAAGACCGCTTTGACCTGAGGACCAGCGGGATGCCGTTGAATCTTAAGCAGGGTAGTAGATGGATCATTGATGCGTTGTACATGTACTAGGTCAGTGTATCTATAGATCGAAATCGATTTAGATCATAGGAAGAGGTTGGGTAGTGCTGTAGTGGGTGGCATCATGATAGTGCGTGGCAAAAAGATAATTTTTACCTCACTGAAGTGTGCGTGTCTGATCAGACACGACATGTGTCTTTCTTACAACCGCTAACAGGAAGATACCGAGAGAAGATATGAAGCGACCCGGAAATTTTTACCCGACTTTATTGTGGCATTCGATTCAAGAGCTCAAGCGCCTCGACAAGCACCCGACTCTTGTTGATTAAGACTTCTTGAGGAAATCCATGCAGCTCCTCATAAGTGTTTATTTCGATGAAGCCTCTGCCTTTCCCGAGGCCTAAGAGGAAAAGCATCATCATGAACAGGCGCATTATTGAGTTTGAGAACAAGATGACTTAGATATCAATCATTATAAGTAGTACTCATACTTGTTCTTGTTGCGTATAGATAATCCCCTTCTAATGCGCGAAAAAACAGTGGAAGGAGAGCAAGCAGATCGGTTTGGAGAAGTATGTTGACTCAAGGCCGATCTCAGATGTCCAGTTGCGCATCGTGCCGCCGCCGGCTTTTCCAGGCGCGGTAGAAGCCCAGCAATACTCGTTTTAAGGCTACAACCTGTGCCTAAGATTAAACATGACTTGGCTTCTTGTACCGTCGCAGGAAATGTTTCGTCTCACTGATGATCCTGTATGATCATCCGAGATGCAATGATGATGCTATCGAAGAATTACGATAGCAAGTTAGTACGACTAGTCCCTGCTCTAATGGCTGCGTCTCGCGAGCGAACCAGGTGCCATGCTAAAAACGCTCAAGGCGACTCGAGCGAAGGTTGACGCAGCTTTCGCAAGGTACTTCGCCGAAGACGAAGCGATGGAGAGCGGGTCTGCGTAGAAGGACGGCATTGAGATTGATCTGCAGTTTTGAAAATGTTGTTGATGGTCATGCACATGCACGACGATTCATATTTCTTATCGCGAGAGTATTAAGAAAATGAATACTTGTATTTCAATTTCATCTATACGCAGAGAGTAAGAAAAACACCGTCGCAGATCTACTGTTCAGAACACTAAGCTGCTAAGATGAGAGAGAGAGAAAAGAGAGGCGAAGACATCAAAGCAATTTGGACAGACGGTTGATTACGAGTGCTGTGGATGCGCTGGTATCTGTTTGACACGAGCGGAAACAGCGACTTCGGTGAATCGATCCCCAAGCGATTCCGCGATCTCGATACAAGGGTCTTTGTTTGATAGAGAGGATCAAGGAACTTGCGAAGATCTCTTGTATTTGAAGTACGTAGAGCCGCATCCACAATATGATCTTTATCCTCGTTCCTCAGCCAACTACTGAAGGTCCCGAGCTAGATCATTCACGAGAAAGAGGTCCTCGGGAGATGATAAGCTTCGCACTTTGACTTTTTCAGTCCCAATGATGATAGATTCTCCTTCTCGAGCCCGAAAAGTGAACGTAGTCTAGCTTAAGATCATTGTTTAAAACTTACGCTTTGCAGCTGTAGTTCGCTTGTAATAGTCTTCTTAGATGATAAGATAAAGATTATGAGTTATTAGGGTATCATAAGTACACCCTTTGTTTTGCTTTTGCTTTGTTTGCACATTGATCCTGATCGATAATAGTCATCCACTACATCTACATCAGAGGACCTTCCGGTTGGATTAAATTTATGATGGCTTTACATAAGACTAAGTACTAAGTAGAAACCTCCTCCTCGTCGTAATTTTCGACTCCCATCGCGAACATGTATGAAAAACCAGCTTGATTCTAGGTAATGTGATTCGCTCTTTTGAACTCCAATTGTAAGTCAGTAATTGCAACCTTCGGTTGAGTCCTACGATACAGTGGTCAATCTATCACTTACATTTTGATTATCACCTTCACCTGTAATTTTTTCATATCTCTGTCTGTGTCGCATCTCTGTGTTGCTTGCGCCTGCGCGTTTCCTATGTTGAGGCGCCACGCTTTGGATTGAGTGAAAAAGATTGAGTGTCGCCTTCTGTCCTGCAAACTCTGCTGAGGTAAACGCTCAACTTCAATAATGAGGAAAGACAGTCCGTGATGAGTCTTCTAAGTCGCTTAAATTTACTAACAACTAAAAGCAAACACTTCCATGTGCCAGCAATTCAGTAGTCTCCTCCTATAGCAGGCTTTGTAAACGATATTTTCCCCGGTCTCTCTGAGGTGTGCTGCAAATCTAGACTGGCTTCTTCCTTTCCATAAGGTTGAGGCTTAGGCCCAGCGGCGCTCAAAGCACTAATTAAAACAGCCGGTTACTTTTTCCCTCTAGAGATCTAGCCCTTCCAGCAGTATATCTTTGGTTCTTTCACCACGTTCGCGGTTGCATTGATCTGATTTGGCGGACGAAACACAATCAACATGGCTGCATATGCATTCACCGCAAAGCATCGGCGGCTGTCCGCCTCGGAGGATGCTCCTCATGTACCTGACGGCTCTCACTTTAGAGGTTGCGGCATGGCGGAGATTGAGATGGTGTCTCCTGCTGGGGGACAGCTTGAAAAAACGCGCGGAAAGGTTGCAATCGTGAAAACCTTTCGCAGGGCTTACGTACGTTTGGTGCTGCTGGACGGAGAAAAAACGCATGCGTTGGACAGCAATGACGGGGAGATCTACGAGTCTCCGGGAGGTCTTCATATAACTTTGACACCCAAACGAAAAGGCTTTTATCTGTTCGGCCATGGCATGCTGCAGAGCCGCAGAATTCGCCTGCGTTGCGAAGCTTCTCGCTATTCGGAAACCGATCCTATGGAATGTTCTCGCGAACGTTTCGAAGAGTTTCGCACGTCGCTCAAGAGTTGGGTCGGTCTTGGAATCACTGGAAGCTTGGCCACGTCGTGCGAGCTGGAGGAAATTGAGAACGAGGTCTGCCGGTTTAAGAGGCAGGAGGACGCAACGGTGAAGCCGGACAACATTGTCGCAATTATTGGAAAGACCGGCGTAGGCAAGTCGGCTTTCTGTAATGCAGTGACGGGCTACCGGGTCTCACCTAGTGGGTCGAGTGGCGACGCTGTGACGATGGTGCCGGCAGAGTATTCTTATTTGAGCGCGTCGGAGCTGGAGCAGCTTCCTGTGGAAGATGCGCTTCTTGAGGGGGGTGGCGACGTTCTGGGTGTCTTGCTGCGAAAAGAGCTTGGAGAGATTCCCAAGTTCAGGGCGTCTTTGCATTTTGTCGACGCTGTGACCATCAAGAACACTCTCAGAGATGCCGTGCGGGAGCTCCTGGCAAACCCGGAAGATTCAATGGGTCGAAATTACTTAGAAAAGTAAGGATGCGCTGCCTTTGTTGCGATTGGTTTTTGACAGGAACGCTGCAGCTACTGAAGCGATTGGCTGGGCAGTGGCCAACGTCGTACCAGCTAGTACCAGAAAGAAAAAAGGCTCCCCAGGCGCGGCCCAACCTGCAGCGGCAGAAATCGACAAGCGACGCAAGTTATTGTGGGGGGCTATCGAGGATATAAAAGACGGGTCGACCAAGGAGCGCAGCCTCTTGCAGTTGTTCAAAGAGGAGCAAAACAGATTCGACGATCCTAGAAACCTCTTCGGCTTGGTAACCACAAGCTCTGTCTTTACGCTCAATACGCTTCGCCATCTGGAAGAGAAGTATTGGCGTATGTTGGAGAAAGTCTCCGTCGGCGGCGATTTCCCGCTACTGCAGACTCCGGGCCGGAGTTGTAAGATTGTGGATGTTCCGGGTTATGGCGATCTGAGTGATGTGCGGAAGAGGTTCGCCGATGATGCTCTGAAAAAAGCAAGTCGGGTTGTCATTCTGGTTGACTCCGTTAGAGCTGGCAATGACGCCGAGGTGCGGAGATATCTCGAAAGCGGTGATGTGAAGAGACTGCTCATGGAGCGCACCGGCCAGACAACGAACTCAGGCGACAAGGTGTTGATGTTCGTGGCTACAAAGTCAGATGTGAAATCACACAAGGATCTGCAAGATCAAGATTTTTTCGAGAGTGATTTAAACGTATTGCGCAAGCAAAACAGCAACACAGTGCGCAAAAACGTGAGAAAGATGCTACAGGAGATTGAGCACTGCAGAGATGCGCCGATATATGTCGTTTCTGCAGAAAAGTATCAAGCACTTCCGAGCGTCGGTCTGTCGCCGGACGACCCAGACGATTACACTGCTGAAGTAACGGAAATCCCGAGAGTAATGGTTGATCTTCATGAATCCCTTTGGAGGGATGAACTCGCTGCGGCCAAGCGGTTTCTGGAAACGGTGGAGGCGAAAAGCAAAGACGGGGCCGACCTCATCGAGCTTCGCAGCATCAAACAGCCTGAGGCAATGGCCGATCTCATGAAGAAGGCTGCGCAACATATGGCGAAAGAGGTTTCGGGAATGCAGTGTCTCGCGGATTTCGGTGAAGAGATCAATACTTTGCAGCGGATGATCAAAGAGGTGGCAGAGGATGCCGACAAGACCTGCCCCGATGTAGTCCGTGATTGGCGCGGCCGCAGTGGCCATCATTTATCCTACAGGGCGGCCTTGATAAAGGGAGGCCGTCACTGCGGAGTCAATGGAAGCGTCGATTTCCACGAGGATCTATATAAGCTTTTTCGCGAGGGCGTGGCCGAAGCTGGTTGGTCTTCTTTCTTCGACAAGAAGGATGACGAGCTCGGCAAAATGGAAGCGGAAGCGCAGCGCAAATGGGAAGAGATCTGCGACGGAATTGCGAACATCGCGCAGCAGGGCGCAAGTGCTGTCCTAGATCTGGAATGCATCAATACCGAACTAGTAAAATACATCGACAAGAAACGACGCGACTTTAACTCGCAAAGGGCCTTCGCAGAGGCGCGCGATGCGCTGATGAAAAAGCTAAATGCTGTCCAGCTGGAACTCGGCAACCCCAAAACGCAACTAGAGGCGCATCATGCCCCAGAGTATCAAAGCATCGGTGATAGCTGCTCTGGACTGGGTTCCACTGACCGACGCGAATCCCTGGTCGGACGATTGCATCAGAATGGGTGCCGAATGGCCTCGCATAACATCCAGTCTCTTGATCAGCTAGCACAATTTGCAGTGGACGAGTGTAAGTCTGCTGACAGCATTGTGGTGAAGCGCCTCCAAGATCATACGATGGAAGTCTTCGGGAACATTGACTTCGATCGGAAAACCAGCTTAGAGGAAGCGCGCGAGGCTGTTGCAATTCTTAGGGATATGGAGGCGAAATGCCGTGAGTATCTGGATCGCCTCCACTGAAGTAGGACAATAGTAGCTGTGCCGTAGACGAGGCTTTGGGTTCGATATACTTATAAATCGTTTGAAGCAGACAAAAGATGTGAAATAAGCTCTATCATGATTCTCGAATCTTATTAGGAGTTCCCCACAAGAACTTGTAGCTGTATCTAAGATTCTCCTCCTCGTGATATGATTCTTCTATAAGAACATGATTGGTAGATCTAGGTGAGTATGGAAGTCGTACTACCGTAAGCGCCAACATACCTCGTAATATATTGAAACTTTTATTACACTGTAAAGATGAAATTGAAACTGAAAAACAAGATTTTTTTGTGGAACAGATACAGATACAGATGGAGACTGCGATGCAAAAGCAATAGTGCAGCTTTCCGCTCCGTTCATGTTTTACTATCGAAGATTCAAGATTGTAGATGTAGCTTTAAGAATGGAATGAATAAGTTGTAGAATCATGAAAAACGAAAATGGTACTACAGGATAATCGACCACCGACGTGTGCTAACACATTTGCTGCTCATTTTTACCGCTATTTATCAAGCTAGTATCGTTGGGAAGAGCGATTCTGTATGATTCACTTATGCCTATGTAGCAATATCACGTCCATCCGCATTCTATCTTGAGAAGTGAGTAAAACCAAATTTAGTGTGAAACCTGTACTTGTTCCTTGAAAATGAAAAGGTGAAGAAGCAATATATTGGAAACTACTCGAACCTAGTCCGATTGATCGAATAAATGAACAATGACCCTGATGATGTTTAAAAAACTGTTTTAGCTCCCAAAATATTTTCGAGTAGATGAACTCCACTCAGAAGTGGTTGTGGTTGAGGTCCTTGTTCATGTTGGTGTTCCGAGTTCATAAGACAAAGGTCATTGGCATCGTTTCATCTTGCCGACAGAAAGTGCAATATGCATCTTGTAGTTTCGCCACCAGAATGGACTAAGGAAAAGATAGAGGCTCATCTGTCTCCCGTGATTTGATTTTCCTTCGATTACATTTTGTGGTCGAATACGTCCTTTTTCGCAAGATGCGTGCAAGTGCAGCAGCAGACGCAGTCTCCCGCGACGTGGACGACGACGACGACGAGTTAGATTGGGGTCCTCTCAAACGCATCACGCATGATATCCAACATGCCAACGCAACGAATGTTCCAGTCCAAAAAGAAGTGCTTAATGGTCAATCGCGGAATGGTGCCACTACTGACGTAGTCCCGCAAGTGTCGTGGCGAAATGTGTATTTGTTTCTCGATGTAGACGGCGTCTTGCACCCTGACGACGCTAGCAAGGCGCCCAGCCGCGACTCAGTTCTACGTGTGCCGCAGTTGACGTGCTTTCGCGCCATCGTTGAAGAAATTTATCGGCGGACAGGGACAAGGAAGAACTTTAAGTGCCGCAATTGAGGGTTTATTTGATAGGTGGCCTTTGTGAGGTCGTGGCCCGTATCCATCATGAAGATACTCGGTTTCTTTTTGTTATTTTTGCAAATATCACCCAGACGTGCACCTTCTCAGCTACTTATTACTTCTACTAGTTTTTTGATCTATAGCTTTAAAACCTCCATCGGTGCCACCGTGGGCAAAATTTTCCTTGTGCTGAGCTCGACCTGGCGTGAACATCCACCGCGAACGCAGAGACTATTGCGAGAGCTTCGCAAGTGGGGATTGCAGTTACTTGCCCAGGAAGAGGACTCGCAGAATGATGGAAGTGCGACGAGCTTCGTGATTCCTGTCGTGGTATCTAGCACACCAGTTTTGAGCGACTTTTTCGCATCCATAGAGCAGAGAAGAGAAAGGGAGATACGAGCGTGGATTCGGAAGTTTGCGACGGACTTTGAGGTACTAGAAAATGAAAATGATCGTCCGGCGTTGGACGACCAGGAGAACAGCGTCTTCCTCGTATTAGACGATTTGGCTTTGACCGAAGCCGGTTTCGGACCACGACAAAACACTTTCCTGCACGTAGATCGCACTACGGGACTTGTGACAGAAAAGGACGTTGCAAGAGCAGTGGATTTGATGGAAAAGCAAGTGCCATTGGGTTTGGGCCCTGGCAGAGCTGGAACCATTGAAAAACAGGACCTGATGGGTGGATAACAATAATGAATATATAGTGATTCCGATTCGGTTTGCTTCAAGCCAATTCGCGACTTTTTTGTCTGTCATTGTGGTTCATCAGAAACAAATGACTTGCGGTGTGGCTTTGCGGTAGTGAGATCTTCGAAGTTCAACCGAAAGCACCTCCAGATCCACATCAGAACTGGATACCTGTTTTGTTGTGTAGGCATTTTGTCTGCAAAAAGGTCGAAATCTATCTGTTTTCTCTGCTGCTCCAACAAGAATGAATGATCACCCATATTCCCACCTTATGCTTGTTTGGGATACACTCGGACTCGGACTAGGTATTCTCGAAGACTGCGTCTGTCAACACCTACAACTTCCTGTACTAGAATAATTACTAAGAAGTGAACACTACCTGGATTATGATGTAGATGGTGAAAATGCCGGTATTGCTTTCATCAGACTCACCGTCAGCCTCGCTCCGTGGTAAATCAGGCAAAACCTCCTCCAACGGCAGGACTGCTTCACTTGCTCCGCAAGTAAACGAGGTCGTTTCGGAGGCGCTTTCGAACACCATGCTTGTGCCTGTGCCGCCAGCTTGCAATGACGGGGTCCTGCAGCCGCTCTTCCTGCTCTTCCTCGTTCGCACATTTGTGGCCTGGAGAGCGCCGATGGATGACTGCGACGAGGTCTTCAATTTCTGGGAGCCGATTCACTACCACGTGGTTGGCCACGGTTTTAAGACTTGGGAATATGCAAGTTATGCATGATGTGGTTATCTTTGAATTATAACTTTGTTTGCTTACGTTGCTTCCTCCTGGTTCATCAGATAATTTGATTTTAAGGCTAGTTTATACTTGAGCGTTCTTCATATTTCCGAATACGGGATCCGCACTTGGGCATTCGTATTGCTGTACTCGCTTCCGTGCAAAATACTCTGGATAATTGGGCTGAATTTGCACGACGCCTTTTCCGACTACAGCATCTACTTCAGCCTTGACAAAACGTCTCTGTTCTACCTCACGCGATTCTTTGCCGTCGTTATGCCGTGTTTCTTCAGCGAAATGGTGCTCGTCCGCTCTGTCGCAAAACTTGAGGGTGCACGACGAGGGAAATTCACGATCGCGCGGTACTTCTGCTACGCACTTGCTTTGGCGCCGGGAATGTTCGCCGCGTCCGGCGCATTGCTGCCGAGTAGCTTCTATATGGTGTGTGCAAATTTTGTGTGGGCACTCTGGATACGAAGCTACTGCGATCGAGGGCGATTTGCACTTACTGGCACAAAGAGTAAATCAGGGAGCGACTTCAAAACTCTCGCTGCAACCGCGCTGGCCGTGGTGATCACACTCATATCGGGATGGCCCTTTGCAGCGTTGGTCTTCGTGTTTTTCTTCCTCGGAGTTCTCCTCTCTTTATGACTTGGGCTCCAGAAGCCATCAGATTGATGAATCCAGGGTTTATTCTTATCGTTCAAGAAAGAAAAATATCCTCGCTTGAACTTGATATTGGAATTTGGGCTTCTTCAAGAGTAGAGTTAGACTTTCATATTTCTTTCGTGCCTGGAGTGCCGTTCCCGTTGGTTTGATGACTGTGGGTGTGACACTAGGTTTCATGGCAATTGTCGATTACGAGTTTTACGGGACGTGGGTGTACCCAGTGTGGAATGCCGTCTTATACAATACACCGGCAGCTGCGAAGACGAAAATCCTAATACCTGTTGTTGGATTACTTGCTCGCGTCTTTACGAATCACGTGGTGCCGATGATGGAGCAAGCGAGTGTTCCACAGGCGAGCGATATGGCGCAATCCTTTGTGGCGGCTCTTGCAAAAGCTGAAGCAGATTTGTTAGAGGAACAACCGGGGAGCGAACTGTATGGCGTGGCGCCGCTGTCTTACTATCCGAAAAACCTGGCTTTGAACTTCAATTTCATTTTCCTCTTCGCTTGTCTCGGAATTGCAGTATCGTGGTCACCAGCATTCTTGTGGCGACGCATAATGAATCCTAAGGACCACGATCACCAGAGCACGCAAGCCGATTCTGTGGTTCTCTTTGTCACCGAGACGAGTATGTTCAGATGGCTCACGGGGCCCTTTTTCACGTGGGTGCTGCTCCTCTGCTACCTTCCCCATAAAGAAGAACGCTTTCTCTTTCCAGTCTATCCGCTAGTGTGCTTGTTCGGAGTGGTACATGGTTTTTCTATCTTGCTTCACTGTATTAGTATTTACGCAGTAGATAATGATCGTGTGTCCGAATTCCAATTCTTCATGATGTCCTTCATGTTGACGAGCCATCGCGCCGTTTCTTCCAAACTCTCTTTCCTACCTCTTTGTGCTCGCACTCGTATTCAGGTCGGTCTCGCAGTCGCTACACCAAGTGTCCGACTGTTTTGGCTCCTGTCTGTTCCGCTTTCCATCGTACGGATATTTGCGCAGGTGTACTATTACAGTGAGCCGGTCTACACTGTTTGGGAGAAGGCGCGGACTATCTCATTACAAATCAGCATAGAGAATGAATCAAAGAGCGCAAGTTTTGCATCGAGCGGCGCTCCATCAGAACAGACGCAGACCACATCAAGCACGTGGTGCCTAGGCAACGACTGGTACCGCTTTCCAGGTCACTTCTTTTTACATGAGTCGGCACGCGCACAGTTCATCAAGACAAAATTCGATGGAATTTTGCCAGCACACTTTCCGGAAGCCAGGACTGGGATTCGACTGGTTGGCCAACAATCAGGAGTTGGGTCGAAGAATATCAGCGGCGGGCAAAACGCTGCTTCAGCGAGGGATCAACAGGGACAAAGCTCCCTTCGTGATGACCGTGACCTGTGGGTGCAGGTAAGTTCTATGTGGAGGAAGCCGGAGGCTTTGCGGCCGCGACTCGACGCCAAAGTACCTCCACGATGGAACAACCAGAATCGGGAGGAGCACGATCGCTACGTCCCAGAATCACAGTGCGACTTCCTTGTGGATGGCTTTTCGAAGGTCGAGTTAGAAAAAGTACAAGATAGAGCAGAATACTGTCGTACGATGATTGATAATTCGGCCAGTCGATTTCCATTCCGCTCCTTCTACTTACTCCCTTTGGAGATGGGCGCAAGTGTCGTCCCGTGGCTTCGACAGACTATCCGAAAGTACCTGGAATTTAGATATTTTTGCATCATTCGAGGAGAAGGTAATAAATCGCCACGACCAGCAACTCCTCGTCCTCCGCGAGTCGCTGCCGACGCGCTAGCGACAGAGAAAACGGGAACCGGAGATGAACTTTAAAAGCATCTTCTTTCTGGATCAATCTCCGCAAATGAGAAAGCAGTAACCTAAGCGCTAGAGACACCGAACCGCGCCACAAATAAGTAAGTTGTGTTCCTCTGGAAAAAAGAAGATAAAAGGAGAGCTTAAACAAAAAGTAAGCACCAAAAGCTTGATCCGATCACGTTTGGAGTCCGATCTAGGGGAGCGAAAACGTCCAATGAGTAGGCTTTTTTGAAGCATCAATGAATAGTTTGATGCATCTGACATATGACGCGTCTCCACAGCTGAGATTTAAGCTACCGTTTGGCCGAAGAAACATGTGTTCGCCTTTGTCTTTTTGGAGTCATTCCCCATCGGCAGAAAGAACGCTGGTTATAACAAGCTTTTCGTGACGAGAAGTGCTGTGATCTCACCTCACTTCTACTAAGGTTGGAAGAGGCTGTAGTCCTACACCTACTCTTGGGTAGGATTGATTTGATAGGACTGGGCTTCAGTTGTACGTGTTACATGATCAAACCAGTTACCTGAACAAATAAAAGGACGATTATGTTGTGATACTATCACGAAAGACGGTGAACGTGAAGTAGGTGCAATTCAGTCGTTGACCAATTCTGTACTATTTTCGTGCGTGCTTGGGGTTCGGCCTGACTGATTAGGATAAATCAAAAGTGATCCTGACTTGGTCTCAGGAGGAAACAACTCGTAGAGTCCGTAAGAAAAACTACACCTACAAAATCAAGCATACATCAAAGAGAATTAAAAGAGCTATAATGGTCAAAAGATTTCGGTGAGGTTTTTCGAGGGATTATCGGGGGGAGAAGGGGGGGTCCTAGGGGGG